AGCAGCCGCTGCCCTTCCAGCCTGCCCTCCTCTCCTCCAGGCTGGGGCCGCTTGTCAGGAGCCCTCCGGCGCTTGGCATCCTCCCACTTGGCCCTCTCTGCTGCTCTCAACCCTTGCTGGGCTCTGGCTCAGCTTTGCACACTGCAAACCCAAAGATCCACCGCCTTTTTGGGCCTTGGAGCCAATGGCTTCTCACCCACCTCACCTTTCCCCGCCGCATGCTGCCTGCCTGAGCCAGCCACACGTTACAAAAACAGACACCTATTATCAAGGATACTACTCATTTCATACAAACTGAATCAGACATTTTCTTCCCCATGGATGCACATTCCTTGTATATGTCCATTCTCCTAGATGTGGCCAGGATCTGTCAGGGACTGGTCCGAGGAGGAATGGCGGGGACCACTGCCCCCCCGCACTTCCCAGAGAAGAGGGAGACAGTATAGATTTACAACAGTGGTTTGCAGAAGGTCATAGTTCAGAGGCTGCAGAGGAGAGAAGCTGGGAAATATTGGGAAATGAGCAGGAGGAAGAATAACAACCAGGGGAGAAACAGCTGACAGACTCCGTGTCTTTAGAAAGCCTTCCAGATCCCCCCTCTCCCAGGACCCGGCGGGCACTGAGAGTAGGAGAACAGAAAGCTCAGAGGCAGAAAGCACAGATGCTGACGCAGGGATGATGTATAATAGGAGAGACAGAGGGGGTGGGACTTTACTCAGAGCAACCACCATTATCCGAGAGACTGCATCCTAAGTCTCTCTCTGTGAATGTTGAATAAAATAGTTTGGTAAGAGCTTCTTGTTTTTTCCATTACTGGCAGCCTGCCATGAGGGAGGTAGATCAGATTCCCTGAAGCCTGACAGGATCATTCTGATAGATATATGGGAATGGAGCTGTAAGTTGGGCTAGTCATAAACAAAATTCAGTAGCTCACTCTTCAGCAGAAGCAGAGTATGTTTTTGCTGCAGAAACATGCAAAGAACCACAAAGACTTGACAAGATTTTAGAGGATCTGGGAATGCCAGATTCTAAGCCCATAAAGCTTATGGAAGATAATCATTGTCTTAAATCTGTGCAAACAGGGAAGACAAATACACATACACATAGCCATAAAATGCCATGTGATAAGAGATTTGAGCCAGAAGGGATTTCTGGTACCTCAGGTTACACACGCTTCAGGTTACAGACTCCACTAACCCAGAAATAGTGCTTCAGGTTAAGAACTTTGCTTCAGGCTGAGAACAGAAATCGTGCTCCGGCGGCGTGGCAGCAGCAGCAAGAGGCCCCACTAGCTAAAGTGGTGCTTCAGGTTAAGAACAGTTTCAGGTTAAGAACGGCCCTCCGGAACGAATTAAGTACTTAACCCGAGGTACCACTGTACTGTCCAACAACGAAAATGATATTTTAACAAAGCCTTTGTCGAAAGAAAGTTTTGAGAGTTTATGTGCTAAATTAGATGTGATGAATTCAAATTAGGTACAGTGAGAAGGGGATTGTAGGAAAAGCACTGGAGCCTAATATGATTAATAGAATACTTGGCCTCTAGTGAGCAGAGCTTTATGCTGTACTCTAGAATCGGCCCCTCCCTTCAGGTTGTCAGTTAGGAAAGGCTGTTCCTTGCCTCAGTATGTTTCATTTCAGTCAGTACGTTACATTTTTCTACTATTAAAGCTTTGTTTCATATATATATATATATATATATATATATATATATATATATATACACACACACACATATACACACACACACACACACACGAGCTGTTGAAAAGACAAACCCTGCTAAAGAAGGAGAAGGTGTAATATCTTTGACTGGGTGAATGAGAAGATATTTCCCTGACAGGATTACTGATTTTTAGTCACCTTCTCCACAACAGCACATGCCTATAGGGCCTCAGCAGCAATCTTGGTGATGGCCAGAGTTTCCATATTATGAATAGAGAGGATGTTCCTAAACAAATACAGTGGTACCTCAGGTTGCATGCGCTTCAGGTTAAAGACTCCGCTAACCCAGAAATAGTGCTTCAGGTTAATTGCTTCAGGATGAGAACAGAAATCGCGCGGCGGCGGCGGCAGCAGGAGGCCCCATTAGCTAAAGTGGTGCTTCAGGTTAAAAACAGTTTCGGGTTAAGAACGGACCTCCAGAACAAATTAGGTTCTTAACCCGAGGTACCACTGTATACTCCTTCCTTCCTTTGGAATGTCTGCTGCCATAATGCCTAAGAGGAAGGCTTCCTTTTTTTTTAGTAAAAATTAATCTAAACCTTTTATAAAGTTCATTATAAATAATTTCCCAAAAGCTTTTGATCTTTTTACAATTCCACCACATATGATATATTGTTCAGCTTCTTGGAAACTCGTGGGCATAGCCGGGGGAGAACAGCTGCCCCCAATCAAGTAAATAAATAAAAATATTTAACTACAAGTAGAAATTATATAAAGATTTTGACAGATTTTTCTAAGCATTTGGGGTCAAATGAAAGTAATTTAAAACTGTTGTTGAGACATTTCATTCCAACTCTGCTAGACAGAGGATTATGACACCCCCCCCCCCCCCAATCCTGGCTACATCCATGTATATATGTATATTTAATGTATTAATAATTTTACTTCACACACACACATTCACATTGACAAATGCACTGTTATCAAATCTGTTTAAGAATGAAATCTGACCAAACAAAATCCTGGACAGCTGCTGTAGACAGACACCAGTCCTGGTGTCTGCAAACAATTCTGCTAATAAGATTTAATGGTTCCAGTGAATTATTCTCAGCTACCTCCGTTCTGCCACAAGCTGTGTTTATAACAATGCCTGATAAAAAAATTCAACAGAATCTGTGAATATAATTTTATTCTTTCTTTGAATACACTCTGATGAGCATGTTTTTCTCCTCAAAAACAAACATATTTATTTTATGCTGGGTATTATAGCCTGAAGATAGGGCTATGTACAGTGGATAGACTTTAGGTCTCTACAGAAGCAGCAGACGGGAACATGAGAAGATGAGGAACCTATTTCCTTCTCCTCAGATTCTAGTTGTACAAGATTTGGTAAAATATACTGATGCAATGCAATGGAGCTCAAATTTAGTGACATCTACCAGAATCACAATCTACCCAATCACAATAGCTTCCTTGCTAATAATCTTAAATCATTAGTGAATCAATATTATACAATGATCACTGAGTGATTAGTTTCTTGTTTATCTACAATGGCAGCTTAATGCAAATTCTACGTTAACATAGCAACAGAAAGAGCACCATTGAGTCATGCAATGGCTTATTCATACTTTGCTGCATGGAGGGAAGAATCAGAATGCATTACATCCTTTTTCCTGGCTTCATTAGCAATAAAAAATGAAACCATGATTTGACCCTTGTTCCAAAACAATGAATTTAGATTAGCTCAATTAATTGGTGACTTCTGAACGGTATCTATAGTCTGATGTAGATGTATATAAAGGACTCCAGTTCACATCACATGTGAGCATAGCATTCTGACACTTATAAAGTCCATATGCAGGGACCCGGTGTCTTTTTAGAAAATCCTTGTGCTCAGAAAAAGTTGATGGGAAAGTATCTAAAAATAATGCTCAGTACTCACATGAGCCCAAACAGACAGGAACACCAGCACCAGGAGGAAATGTACGGTACATTATTCCACCCTGTTCATGTCAATGCAAAGGAAACACAATGTGGACACCACTGAGGTCAATGGACCATTGCTATTCCTAGGGTGCAGCTTTTTAACAGGAGAGATGAGCCAAGCCGGCTCTTTGATCTGTTTTATATTTCTTTTGTGGTTCCCTTTTGTAAGCTATATTGAAAATCTAAATACACATTTTCAAACAAACAAATAGTCATTTCTTTCTCATCCCGGTATTTTTAAACAATATATATTTTATAAGAATTTCCACAATTTCACATAAAATTCCAATACATAATAAATCCCCCCCCCCATCAGGGTCGCATAGTTGCTCTCTTCACACACAAACAGTAGCGGCAAGGTCTGTCGTTTTTATAGCTTTTATTTCTTGCTATTTCCACAACTGGGCATTTCAATCTGTGCCGTTCTCGTCAGTTGGTCCCACTGATTTACGGCGTCTTTTCCAACAGCTAAAGCGGGGAATTTTTTCCGACCTTCCGCCTATGTTCGCGTAATCTCCCGATGCGCCTTGCATGAGGGGACTCAGGTCTTCGCCCCTCCTCTGACTCGGAACTGAACCCTTGCACGGTCTGTGAACTTGCCTGTTCACTTTCCTGCGTCTCTTTTCTTTGTGTTCCCTCCCCCTCCGTGGGCTGTAAATCCAAAAAAACCCCTGCTTGTTCCTGGCTCTCTTTCATCTTTGGTAGCAGGGTTTGCTATCTCTTCCTGCTGCCGCCTGTTCAGTTCAGCCTCACTGGGGTATCGTATGCTAGGGGACTCAGAGTGTTCTGAAGTCACCCTGACACCTACTTTCCATCCCGTTTTCCATGGTGTTTTTTTTATTCTAGCGCATTGCTGCACCCTAACTTCACTGTTTTGTATCACAGCAAAAATACAACAGTCTCTAACTATTTCCATTGCTCATAGTTCAAATCCTGCTCGCGAATTCGTGATATTGTTTTATTTCTTCAAATAGTCCTAGAAAGGCTTCCATTAAACATAAAACAGTCATGGTTAAGTTCTGTTATTTTAGCTGCCAGCTTTGCAGATCTATTCTTTGCTTATCCATTCTTTTCTGCTGGGAACTTCTTCATTTTTCCATTTCTGTGCATAGAGAATCCTAGCTGCTGTAGTCATACACAAGTAACTTAACCATCTTTTCTGGAACTTCTGACCCTATAACCCCAAAAGCTTCAGCTTTGTTTTGTTTGTTTTTCTTTGGGGAGGGTGTATAATCACTTTGAATATCCTTTTTATCTTGTCATATATCATTTCTCCAAAATCCTTTGCTTTCTTTCAGGTCCACCACACTTTCTCATCCTGGTCTTCTTTTATCTTCTTCCAGCTGCCCATGATTGTCAAGGTTTGCCACCATCTCCATAGGATCTCAGACTCGAGCACCAAAGAAGAAACACTTTCAGCAATCGTCAGCCTCGCCACAAAGCATCTGAGCCCGGTGGTGGACAGCTTGCTGGAGTGCTCAGCAGAGTGCGATGAGTAAGAGCCTCTAAGAGATGTGTGTTAAGGGGAAATACCATATAGAAAGACATAAAATTAGGGTAGATTGCTTTGCAAAAGGTATATATCCTTATTCCAGCAGCAAGCTGATGAAACCCATCCTGCAAAGGCTTCAGGATAAAGACCCCAATTACAGGCGATGCCGCATGTCACAAACTCCGATAGTGGTACAAAACCATTCAGTTTTTCTCTCCTGGATTGTTCTTGAATGGGAGCTGGATGGGGGTAGGGGCTTTTTGCTGGGAGGGGGGGTACATCTTAATAACTGGCCTAGCAGCATCTTAGTGGTCCATCGCTGTGAGGCTCAGTGGCAGAGCACCTGCCTTATATGCAGAAGGGTCCCAGCATCTCCATGTCGGGGAGTCCCTCACCTCAAACCCTAGACAGCCACTGCTAGTCAGTGTGGACAACACTAAGTGAGATGGACCAGGGTCCTGAGTTGCATCCTGCAGAGAGTTGGGAGATCTTGATCTGATGATGACCTCTGCTGAATGCCGTTCTCCTGTCCTGAAAATACGTATCTCAGGCGTCACAGGCCGGGGTAAAGAGGTGCACCTTCAGCGGAACACTTAGCGGTTCTTCCTGCCAGCTTCAGGCTTGTGCATCCTTTGTCTCTTACGCTTATGTTTCAGGACCTTGTTCACATCATCCCAGGGGCAATACAAGAGCATTGCCAGACTGGCACGGGACTATACGTGTCATCCCAACTTGAAGAAAAGAGCCATAGGGATGGCATTCTACTTGGAGGTGAGGGTCGGAAATGGGGAACGCCTGCAGGCGCTCCTGCTTTGAAACAACTGTGCCCAGGCAGGCAAGGAAAGCAGAGGGTGTAAGAAGGTCTCGTGGGGGTGAGGGAAGCATGCAACACACCCATGTGGGGAGCGAACTCCACAATTTACCACCCTTCTCTAAATCCATTTGCATTCATCATTGTTTCATAAGAACAGGGCAGAGCAGATAATGTCTACAGAGAGGGTGGAATGAAATCTGCATACTGGGGTTGGCTAAAAAGAAAGGCAAATGAACCACTCTTGTTTTGCACAATTTATATCTGGGTTGTTTCCTGCCAGCTCCGAGTTCTGCAGGAGCACTGGAAATCATATTCAGCAAACTCTGCTGGCTCTGGAGATTGATTTGCAAGATACTGCCCTGCACTCTCATGCATCCCTTCCTTGACAGAGGGAGCTAGATATGACTTGGGATACGACTTGGGTGAAATTGGAGGAGCAGAGGGTAGTGACTGGGGCAACACAATCAGGTGGGCTGGGTGCAAGTAACCCTGGTGGTGATGGTTGTTGTGCAGGAACACTTAGCGGTTCTTCCTGCCAGCTTCAGGCTTGTGCATCCTTTGTCTCTTACTCTTATGTTTCAGGACCTTATTCACATCCTCCGTTGAACACTACAAGAGCATTGCCAGACTGGTCAGAGATAACATGCGTCGTCCTAACTCTAAGAAAAGAGCCATTGGCATGGCATTCTACTTAGAGGTGAGGGTCGGAAACAGGGAATGCCTGCAGGCGCTCCTGCTTTGAAACAACCATGCCCAGGCAGGCAAGGAAAGCAAAGGGTGTGAGAAGGTCACGTGGAGCGGGGGGAGGGAGGCACCATTTAGGGCTGGCAGGCCTGCACTCTGCCTGAGGCAGCAATTTCTACAGCCCTTGGATATGAACTGAGGGCAGCGGGCATTAACTAAGGGCCATCCTCAGAGCAAATCCACCAAAATCATTGCACCAAAGATCGTCAGGCCAATTAGCTGCAACTTCTCCGCCTTTAGCTCAAAATTGCACAAAGTTGCTGTTTTTTTTCCTTTCGTTATCCTTTTCTTTGCTGGGGCACTCATACTCTCCAACATTCCTCGGGTGAAAATAGGGACATTTTCTGTAGCCAATTCTGTAGGCAAGGTTTGGTCTTAGTTTACTGAGTATGGTCCCGTGAGCCAGGAGTAGTGAAACAGGCACAATTCGCTTGCACACAGTAAGTGTGGTTTATGTCAGTGATGAACCTGTAGCCCTCCAGATGTTACTAGACTCCCAATCCCATCACCATCGGCTATTGAACATGGGATTTGGAGTCTAAAAATATCCCTATTCTAAGACATACAAATGGAGCTAGTATTCCTCGTAACTGCTTTTTAGTGCTTCAGACAAGAAACGAAACAGTAGAAAAGTATAACCAGTTAAACAATCCCAATGGCAGTGAAAAAGAGTTACTGGTAGGTTGTTTGCCTTGCTGTCGGGATGTGGATGCAGCCCTATGGTAGAAAGCACAGCATCTAACAGAAGCTTAATGTGCCAGATATTGTAGTAGAAGACAAACTCTCTAAATTGGCCAAGACAGTGGAACTTATGGCAGAGAATGTTAATGCTGCATGGGAAATGGCACAGGCCAACAAAGAAAAAATTAAGGCTTTGCAGGAGCAGACCAGGAAACTGAAGGTACACAATAAGTATGTTAATGATAAATTAATGGACTTAGAAAATAGAGCCAGAAGGTCGAATTTACGTCTAAATTTTTTTTCCAGAGTCAGAAGATATGGAGAAAGTGATTGAGTGGATGGCCAATTTGTTGCCAGAATTGGGAATTTTGAAAGACGTGCTCGACCGCATACATAGGGTCGGGAAGCTGAGAAATGAGTCAACTTGGCCAAGAGACGTGGTAATGTGCTTTGGGAGATACAGAGAGAGCAGGTATTCAAGGCAATGAAAGACTTCGATAGACTTGATAAACTGTTGTATAATGGCAAGAAAGTGATGGTTTTTGATGACATCTCTGGAAACAATTAAAAGATTGAGGCAAATTGATAGAGTACTTACAATTAGCAAGGAGAATGGGGATAGTGAGAAGAAACTCAACACAAGTAAATAAGGAATAAATAATTAAGGAGTATCTCAAAGGGTACTGCGACAATAAAAGCTTCCTGGCAGATATTGAATGAGCCATGCAATACAAAGTATCTGTTAGAAAAAGTTAAATTACGTTAAAGAAAAACAACTTTACATAACTGTGTAAATAATAGTTTAATTGTAAATCAGCACAACGGGTTTAGTCGGAAGTTTCTTTTCTTTGCAGATTCGCACATAGTGTTTACTATATTTGATGGTTGTAATTTACTTCTTAATATGTATTTTAAAACTGTTTTTTCTATATACACTCATTTCTTTTTCTTTCTTTTCCTTCTGTCCTTTTTTCTATCTATATTCTTTATAATCTACAATTAAGTGAATGTTTGTTGGTATTGTATGTATTTTAAGATTTCTCTTGCTCAATAAAAAAAGGGGAAAAAAGAAAAAAATTACTGTGGTTTTTCTATGTTAAGTACTATTGAATGTTTCATAAAGTTTGGTCTGTATCTTCTGGGGGGAAAGAAACAAAAAAACTGTACTTTCTCAATGCAGTTCTCAAACAGGAGAAATGTGCAGTTGTGCCACCAGGGGCACTGCAGGGAAAAGCCTCCAGTTTAGTTTGTGTACCTCGGACCTCCTACAATTGAGTAATTGTTGGTATACAGAAGGTGATAGTTTCTGTCCTCCTCTCCAGCCTTAACTGACAGGTAAGAGGGTAAATTTGTCTGACAAATTAGTTTCTCTTTTGTAACCCTTAAATGATGCCTGATATCTTTGGGATCCCTGGATCCTGAATTAGAATTTGAGAATGAAGTCCATATTAATCCTGATGTGCATCTTGATTCTGGGGAACCCCAGTGTGACACAAGGAAATGTCTTTGTAAAGCATGAGAAAATGTCACCCTTTACTATGAACATCCTAGAAAGGTAGCTGACATGTCCCTCATTCCAGGACTGATCAAGGATCCTGATATTGTGTTGGCAGGCCTACTATATAACCAAAGTGGCCTTTTTACTACACCTCCTTCTGAATTGAATGGCACCTCCTACCGGTATTTCCAGTTTTCCAGAACCACCCAAGGCTTGTGTTTTTGTTGCTATGCCTCTGGGGCATGGGACTCCAAATGGAAAGATTGGCACCAGGTACAATGCCACCAACGTAAAAGTTGGCTAGGAAATTATACACACTGCACCGATAAATTTTGGTTGTGGGGTTCCTTCAATACCTCCTACCAAGGAAACACCACACCTTCAGATTTGTATCCATACTTCCCCCAATATACAGTCAATTTCACCAGACAGGGATCCATCTATTCTGGATGGATGATTAAGGATCCGAATCTATGGTTCCTGGCTTGCTACAAACTACCACCCTTGTAATTACCAGTGTGTGGAAATCGGAGCCTTCACTTTCCCTGTGACTGTAGAGACTTTCCTTCCTCGTGCCTCTAGAAACAGGAAACAGAGGGAAGTCCAAGGGGAACAGTGTAGTGATGAAATCTACCCGACCCGTTCCATAGGTGCTGTTGGAGGAGGCTTTGTTAGTGTACTAACGCTAAATATATATCCAGGAGTCATTTCTGAACAAAATCGCTAAGCCCTTTTCGCCTTAACATGTAGGTTGGAGAAATGTTAAATGGACATAGGAGTATTTAGGAAGGGTTGTGTCCACGCTTATTGGTTTGATTTTGCTGCAATTTATGAATATGTAATGCCTAAAGCTGTTTGCAAAAAGGTATATAAACCCAAAGCACCAGAGCTCTAGCACCCAGTCTTTGGACACCATTCCGCTGTCAGCAATAAAATTTTACTTTCTTTTTCTCCATTACTGTGTCTGTGATTTTTGAGCACACCTTGAACAGGTATCAGGTATTTAGGTAACCCTTTACAACAGAATGAGAAACTGCATGACCAGTGTATACATGTGTACCACCGTCTATTTGGCCATTTGCATTTCCAGGCAGTAGCCGAAATGCCAAGCATGGTTGAGGACACGAAATTGAAAAATTGTCCTTAACATATGAAGTGTTTTTCTTGTGCAGAAAACAAAGCAAAGCAAGCTCTCAAAGGTGTAAAATCTGGGAGAGAAGCTAAGAAACCTTATGAAGTTATACATGCTGACTAGGTTGGACCTCTAGCACTCTAAAGGCAACTCACGTTTCTTCATGGTACTGATTGACCCAAACATATATGGAATAGGAATATATGTACTGCAAAAGAAATCTGAAGCTTTTTCCAGGTTTCAACAATTTTGTGCATGGCTTAGAAATGTACACGATGAGCATGTACGTTGTTTATTTACTGATAGGGGTAGATAATTTTGTTCTGAATAGTATGAATTTCCTTACTGAACAGAACACAGAGCACATGACTGCAACGCCCAGATCTCCATGGCAAAATGGTTTGTGCAAGCGAGTGAACCAAACCTTGCAACAAGGTGTAAGAACTCTGTTGCACGATTCAGGCCTATCCAATCCCTTTTGGGCAGAAGCTCTATCCTGTTTTTCTTACGTATACAATCACAGATACCAATTGGCTATTGATTGCACCCCATATGAAATGCTTTACAAAAAGACATGCGAAACATTTAAGAATTTTCGGTTCAGAAGTATGGGTCCACACTTTGCAGAACAACAAATTGAGCAAACCTGGCATTTTTCTGGGTTATGAAAAAGGTTCCTATCGTGTGTTAATGACTGACACAAAGGTGATAAGGTTGACCAGAAGCATGGATTGTGACCCAAAATGGGACACAGTTGGCATTTTTCAATGTCATCCCATTTCAGATGATGATGCGAAAGCAATTAAGATAGAGGCAGATCCTGTTGTTGCTAACGATTAATGCTGATGCAGATTCTGATGACACAGATTATCAAAGTGCAAAAGCCTCTCTTAAACAATCAGATGAGTCTGACACTGATTTAGACACAGTACCTTTGTTTACATTAGATCGTCATTCTCCCAAGGAGGAGACACCAGTCCCAGAGGACCAGAGAATCTTTCATAGATCTGAATGAGCTACTAAGGCCAAACCACCTAAGCGGTGCTCCAAAGAGTTTGCTAAAGCTGCTGTTACTAGCAACTCAGATTCAGCTTTTGAACCAGCCAACTACAAAGAGGTTCAAAATTTATCCGCAAAGGATGCCGAACCTTGGCTAAACGCCATGGAAGCCGAGTTAGTTTCCCTAAAGCAGAGTGACACATGGGAATTGGTTCCAGCAGAACCAGGCAAAAAATGTGTTGATAGCAGGTGGATTTACAGGACAAAAACTGATCAGAATGGTAAAATAGTCAGGTACAAAGCCAGACTAGTGGCACGTGGTTTCTCTCAAAATACCTGATCAGGACTATCATGAGACATACTCACTGACAGTAAAGTTTGAGAGTATTAGGCTGTTGATGAAAATTGCTGCTGAGGAAGGTATGACTATTACTAATCACGATGTAAATACTGTGTTTTTATATGGAATTCTCACTGAGAATATTTACATGTTACTGCCAGATGGAGTGCAAATAAAATGGAATGGTTTGTAAACTGGGAAAAAAAAAACCTGTATGGCTTAAAACAAAGCACAGGATGCTGGCACACCAAGCTGACAGAAGTGCTGTTTTCCCTAGGTTTTCAGCAAGGGAAGGCTGATTCTTGTGTTTTTGTGAAAGAATCTAATCAGCACAAGCTCTACTGCATTTGCTTTGTAGAGGATATCTTATTTTTGTGGAAAGATGATAATATTTACAAAAGCACTCTAGCAAAGCTGCAGAAACATTTTGATATGAAAGATCTCGGAGAAGTCAGCAATTATCTCTCACTAGAGGTAGAGAAAAATACACAAGGTGATGTTTTGCTGCATCAGACACGTAAAATCAGTGATGTTATTGAAAGGTTGAACCTGAGTGATGCTAATGCTGTAGACACCCCCATGGTCTCAGGTTACCAACATGATGCTGATGTTTTTCCTGATACGCTTTTCAGGAGTGTATTAGGCAAACTCAGTTTTATCGCAAAGTGTACAAGACCAGATATTGCTGTAAGTGTAATCTGCTCAGGAGACATGCAAACCAACCCACAGTTTAAGACTGGAAGGCGCTGAAACGCATAGCAAGGTTCTTAAAAAGCACTCTGCATTACAGGTTGAGGTTCACCAGCCAAAAATCTGGAGGTCTTGAAATTTATGCCGATGCCAGTTTTGGCAGTGATGCAATTGATGGTAAAAGCACTTCAGATGTGTGCTACTTGTATAATCAATGCCTATTTGATTGGTCTTGTAGGACGCAGGCAACAGTAAGCATGAGTTCTTGCGAAGCAGAACTTAACACTTTAACTCTTTTCCTCATGGACAGTGGTTATTACAACTGTATGAGGATGTAAAAGTGAAAGTTACTTGTCCTATTCAAGTCTATCAGGACAATAAAGCTTGTACAGGTATAGCTTTGCTCCACTCTCAAGGATGCAAACAGACAACAAAATAGCTACAGATTAAGCTTCACCGAGCTAGAGAATGCATCCGGAAAGGAATTGTGAAAGTGTCCTATATGCCAGGGAAAGAAATACCTGCCGATGCACTAACCAAAGTTAACAGAGAACAACTCGCTGTATATGTACATAAATTGCAAATCTGTTAGATTCTGCAATGGTTGGTATGAAAAGGGGGAGATTGTTGATCTTTTCACCCCCTCCCATTGCATCTCCTGATCTGATGTTTTGAGAAAGGAGGGGGCGGAAACTGCTCTTCTACTCTTCCGCTCCTGACTGACTCACTCTATGTGTGGAGAAAGTCTTATCTATGTAGTGACTAGATGGCAGAGTGGGAGCTGTAACACTCATGCAAGCCAGTAGTTCTTTAGTTTGTAGTAGCTATTAGAAATAAAAGGAGTTATGCTTCACAGCTAGCTTCCGCGTTATTTATACTCTGCTGAGTATGGTGCTCACAATGCGCAGTTGCAAGTCCAGTGCACTGAGATGAGAGCTGCTTTCCAGGTTTGGAAGGTCTCTGCAAGTGCTCCAGTTGCCTAGCCCAGTCGGGGCAGAACCAGTTACTGAGCCCAGTCGCTGACATCGGTTGAAAGGCGTACTGACAGTTAGACGAAGTCAAAATCATCATTCGAGAAGGGATGCGGTCTTGAGAGTGTTCCAAGGGCCATAAAGAGGTTTGGAAGGCCAGTTCAAGCCTTGACCCTGAGGTTCTACACCCTTGGTTTACAGGATAGCAGATTTAACTGCAATCAAGATGGTTGAAGCACCATGGCAATTGGCATCTGTCTGTCTCTAGAGTCGATGGAGGAGTGTATTGGGGGTGGTCAAACTGTTGGAGCCTGCTGTGGCAGTAGAGACCAATATTGGAGGGTTATGTTTTGTTGCAGCTGGGGCAATGAAAGCATCTGGTTGTGCTGTTGCAGATACACCATGGCATTTCTTCTCACTGTGGTCCTCCTTGTGATCATTCCTCATCTTGTCACTGCTATGAATGCATGACCCGATTGTATTCCGGGCACTGCGGTCATATGCAAGGGATGACCATATGGTGGGATTGATGCTTGTAGTCTTCATGTCACGTTTGCAGACATATTTGTAATGCAGAGTTGGTCTGCCAATGAGTTGGGTGCCTGCTCCCTATAAAGCACCTCCTTGGGGAGCCTGTCATCTTCCATTCTGTGAACATGACCAAGCCAGTGTAGATGTTACTGAGAGCAGTGTGTGAACATGCTGGGAATGTGGGCTTGGCAGAGCACATCTTTGAGACTGACTTGCCATGTGATGCCCAAAATCTTCCTGATGTAGTACATGGGACCATGGTACAGTTCCCAGAATAGGGTCCCCTCATTCCCCTAAAAAAGGAACTTGAGAAATAGGACACCATAAAATAAGTTTGTGGTATCCTAAAGAGTAACAAATTTACCATGGTGCAAGCTTTCTAAACACCTTAAATATGGCTGAGAAAAAGTACTGATGTGATATAAAAATACTATAAAAATACTATGCTAGTCAATAATAAATTTACCAAGGTAATTTGATACCAAGAAACCAACAATTCACCTTCTGAACTATGTTGCAAATTACTCTTGTACTACATGTGTTTTGTTACTTGAAATTGATTTATTGTCATTTGTATATCCACTCTGCATGACTTATGGGAAGTGTTTAACAAGGTCAGTCAATTTTTTTACTTGACCTGTAGTCTTAGCTGGCTATAGGCTTCACTGGAGGAAATATTTTAACTCTTTCCCTGCTCAACACACTATCTGTTTTATCTTGTTGCAGGGTTACAGCTGCATAATAACCCTTGTAAACCTGGAATCCCAAACAGAGTGGGGAGGAGAGGATTTTTTTGCAAAGCTATGTATCCTAAAATAATCCATCGTTGTTAGCCATTTTCACAATGTGCATTTGCATGAGCAGCTTAAATGGAGTATATGCATTTTTGTGTATTTTGTGTGACTGGAAAACTGCACTGCAATTTTTTTGAGATAGAATTTCAAGGTGACAACGTTTTGGTTCTCATAGGTGTTGGTACTAAAGGGTTAAGAGGTAACAAGTCGCTCTAATCACTGAGCAGCTGGAAGTCATTAAGCATCCAGGAACGTGAGTTAGTTTGTATAGTCAGTTCACCCTTGTGTTCTCTCTCCCGCCCCCCTTGACCTGACTCGCAGACTCAGTTTGTGGTCATGGGCGTGTTTGCTAGTATGAGTTAAGTTTAGACTAAAGTTTTCTTTATGCCGGAGATAAAAGCATGTGTGCTTTATCGCCAGGGTTTTTCTTTTGTAAATAAAGTTTTTTTTCTGAGTTCCAAAGTGCTTGCTCCAGGATTCTTCATTGAAAGGTACTGACTCTCCTGCCTTCTTCAACCGCTGCACAAAATTCTCTGCTGAGATAAGACTTATGGCGTTGGAAGCGCACTGGACGTTTACTTAACATTAAACTAATTAAAGTTTAATGGACAATAGAGTTTTTCTGAAGCCCTGGCCTTAGTATCCCTACTCATTTTATTTTACAATTTAAAACTTTGGAACCTACAGGTCTCAACACTGAATTTTGATTCTTTACAAAAAACAGTGCTAAATTAATGTTTAGAATGTGAGGGGTTAATCACCCTGAGATTGCAGTGTATTTTTAAGTGTAAGAGACCACCCATGCCCCCTTTAGTCTGGAGCTTGCTCGCTGTCAGTAACTTGGAAAGATTATGTGCAATTATTTGATGAAGATAAGGATGGTATTTTTGGAAAGCCTCATGGTAGTTTAAACGGCATGTGATTTCATTTGTGGAATTACAAAAGCCATTACTGAAGCTGTGAGCCCGGAAAGGGACGGGTTAAAGTGATAGAACGAACACTTTAAAGTAGTTTGAACTTCATTTAAAGCATTAAAAAACATTAACTCGTAACAAGACAAAATATAAATTAATGTTTATATATATATTGTTAGAGACAACCCTGCTTGTAAAGGTTTCAAAGTAGTTATAAGCCTGGGGAACTTGTCGCAGAGCAAGGGGAAGTCATAAAGAAACACACCCTACACCTGCAAGTAAAGAAGGAATCAAACAAGCAAAGACTTTGCCATGGTTTTTTGAATGCAGTTTTGAATTGTGTTCTATAATGAATACCACCTTTACCCCTTTTTGTATAATTGTATTAGTATCCCCACTAACATTAACATCTGTAAAAAATAAATCATCTGGTTTAACCATATTGTGATTTTCCATGCTTTCAGATAAGAACTGTAAAGCACAAGTGGAACATTGGAAGTCGCAGGGCCAGAACTCTCCAAACAAACCCTTGAAGGCTGCCCAAATTCAGTACAAGCCCAAGCTATTTTTGTCCGCAATGGGGCAAATGATACCCAGTTAGGACGTCTATAGGGGAGACTGCTGGAGCCATCCAGGGACATCTACTTTGGCCCATCCCCACCTGAGACTCATAGGGTGGAGCTGTTGCTTAAATATTTACTTCTGATTTTTCTAACATTTTTGTGCAGACTGTCCTTTGCCTTTTTGGCAGGATCCTAATGTCTCTGGTTTTTGTTTTGAAATGTCAAGTTTTTTGTTTTTGTTTTTTTAAATGCATTGATCATGCCTTATTTTGGATGCTTATTCTTCGTATGCTGCCTTAGGTGGCTTTTTTTGGCTGAAAGGCAGCATATAAACAAACAGTACTGTGATATAATAAAGCATTGCTGCACTGCTCAGACACCATTCAGACTTCCTGGCCTTGCCTATGCACCCATCACCACGCCTGCAATGCTGCTGCCTGAAGGTCGGTTTACCCAGTTCTGATCAAATTATTCATTTATCAGCCAGCTGCTATTGTATTCAGATGTTGTAGTTAGAGATCCCTCCAGACTGCAGCTTTCCAGCAATAAGGGTGGCAACACATGATGAAAGGAACTTCTAGCATTGGGATTGAAGCAGCAAACTGGTTAGCTGTGCTGATACTGTGACAATCCTACCACTATTTTTGGAATAGTCGTGGTCAAAATTGGGGTGGAGATCCAGCTTCCAAAATTGTGTTGGGTGTTTTAGTTCTGTAAAATAGTTAAGTCACAAAAATACTATCATTGCTAGAAAGCAATAATCTGAAAAGTCCTGAAGCATTCAGGTGAAATCATTCATCGCACAAAGCAAAACTTCTCTGATCTCATCTGCTCGCACTATCTGGAATGTCCTTAAGTCTTAAATGTGCTATTTGGACATTATATAAGTGAATGGGTGTTTTGTGAGATCTTTCACACGCATGTGTTTCTCATTTAAGACCCTGACAAGTCAGTCACCAGTGCTCTGGAGAATTGAGGTTAAAAAGCTGCTCTTTTCAGGTAGCTCCCTGGTTCCAGGCTCATTTAACACACCAAAACTGGATTTAAAAGGATAGTTAGCTCATTATCTGGGTTCCCTAAAGGAGAAATCTAATGAGTTACCGGTAGTTCACCTAAATAGTGAGGTTCAGAGTAAACTTAAATCCTTTCACACTATACTTTTGGCTCACAAAGTGACAGAAATAATCACTTGTTTTGTTACTCTAATACACATTTTAAGGTAGCATAAGAAATATGGGCGTTTTTTGGCACTTTAAAGAATAACATCACTTCTAAATCCACCTCCTGCATATGGTTGAACATTCTAATCCATTGTGTGTATATCATATGCATTTACTTTGCAACTAGCTCTCAATTTAAAAGCCATGAATATAATCGTCATTTTGTACTTTGCAAGACACAATTACCAGCAGAACAGTTCAAAATATAACTCAAGACCAGTGGGGATTTTAGGGTGCACTCAAGGGTATGCGGTACTGGCACATCTTTTTGTTGTTAAAAAGTGTGACACTTGCTGTAACAACTTCATGGTGAGTACTGGCACCTATTTTTTCTAGGGGGGAAAAAAGCACTGCTCAAGACTAAGGTTATCAATAATTTTTTTAAAAAAAGGACTAAGGTATGAAAATGCAAATTGTGCATTGGATGATGCTTTATTTTTCATGAGCATGCACTTATGCTAGAAATTACCAGGGGATTTAATTTCTGGGCATCCCTGAGGAGGTGGTCACCACCAAACAGTAGCAGCACATTTGGGCCCCACTCCTCAGGCTTCTTGCCTCTGACTTATTTCAATCAATGTGATCTGTAAGAAGGTAGATGCAAAGGCCTCTTTACTTCGTGTCTTTTGTCATGGGAACAACTTCCAAGATCAATTCAGGGAACAAAATCCATTACTTGAAGAAATATTCCTTAGTGAGCCATTATGTCTAAACAAGTGGATACTGGTTGAGTGCTGCAATTAATGAACTGACACCAACTGACACCTGGATGATTATATAGCCTGAGGTAACTGATGGGTATTTCAGGCTTCATTACATCTGCTTTTGTACAAGTTTGCAGGCAAATTTGAGGTCAAGAACTTGAATTTCCAACAGACTTTCACCTTTTTTTCTTCTTTTTTTGGCATTATCTAATTATAGGTCACCTACTTCTCAAAATGCTGTGCTGACACAAAACTGATTAAAATTACTGGAACTTGCTACTCTAGATTGTTCAGAGGACTGCAGGTGTTTTGTATAATTAGGCAACTGTTAAATAAAATATTTCAACACTGGTGTCAGGTTAAGGTCATCAAAAGGAAAGACCAGAAATAACCTAATTAAAACTCCTGCTGTGACAGAGCACATGCTAGTCCCAGAGATTTCTCATTCAGTAGCTCATTTCACATAAATTATATTGTAATTGTCAATATTTCACTTAGTGAGAGAGTTCTGCATAAAGGACAGTGAAAAATATGCATTGCAAAGCAGTTACATAAAACAGTGCTTTATTACTTCCACCATTTCACCGTATGAGTCAGCTACTAGTAGGTCTTTATGTAAAAATGCACCCACAGAATTGCTGTCTAATCTCCCCCCCAAAAAAACCCATTTACTACAAGTTGTTATTATGGAGTTGCCTTTTGATGCATTATCTGTCCCACCCCAATTTATTCTCAAAGTGACCTACTGCTAGTTGCCGACCACATAAAAGGCACGACACTGTTCCAGTATGAGGTTCAATAGCTAACAGGATAAAAGGAATGTATGGTGCAGCTGTATTTCAAAAGAATTCAAATTACACCCAAGAGTTTCTGACCATAGGGGCCTGTCGTTTTAATTTTATTTGCATTAAAAAGCACCTTCCTCGCGGCCACCTTTGTAGCAAACAGCCCTCCTGCCTGCATTCCTCTCCCTGCAAAGGATTTCAACCTTAAAGCTCCCTCAGGTTCTTGCATTATTTTAATTTCTCTTCCGTACTTTGCGTTCATCTTGCACATCACAGCTTTAAAGATATCCCTCCAGTCCCCGCTTTTAACATACACGCGGGTTCCACACAGGAGCAGCCCGCCCAAGAAGCAAGGGGAGGGCAGTTAACCCCAAGGTAGAGCCTGACTCCCCGCCTTGTTCCTGATCGTCACTCGCCCCTTTCTCTGGCAGGAGCAGAGACCACTCATTTTGCGCTTCGCCTCAGGTGGCAAAATGCCTCCGAGTCCAGCCCCGGGCCCATAGACCGAGGAAGGACCCCTTGGAGAAGGGCCTGCGCCGTGGAGGGCTTGGGCATCGCGAGGATGCCTTAAGTGCCTCATGGAGAAAACCGCCACTTTTTCGTAACCCAAACTGAACCTAGAGAGCGGTAGGGCTGTTATTGCTGCAAGTTTTAAAGGCGGCGAAAGTGTGCGCGGATCACGGAACTAGTTAGAAACGCGTCAGGAGAAAAAGCGCAAGCCAATTCGGTCTCCAGAAGAGCCTTCAAGCGCACGGGCGTCTCTTTCTGGAGACCCTCAGCATTTGTCCTCACAAGAGCCTAATGAATATTCAGGCCCCTCAAGAGCTCCCGCCCCCTAACCCTCCCAAGACTTCTCCTTCGTGGCGCCCCTCGCTACTAACAGTCGCCGCCCCGCTCGTCCCGTCCCGTCCCGTCCCTTCCCCGCCTCAGCCGCCCCAGAGCCGTTGGCCGCGCCAACTGCCGCGCCGCGCGGCTCGCTTATTTAAACATCGCGCGCGCTGACGTCACGCGCAGCCGCCCGCCCCCCCCCACCAACGGGCGGCTCCCCTTCCCGGACTACCACCCGCCCCAATTATCCCCCGGCGCCGCCACGCCCAGTCCTGCACATGCGCGCCTGACGCCCGCTCCGCCTCCCCACCTTTTCTTAAAAAGAGAGAGAGAGAGGGGGGGGGCAGGGGAGGTGCGCTCGTGCACGCGCCAGCCGAGCGAGGCTCCACAGTTCCGTCGGGTTGGTGAGGCGGGGGATGCGCGCGCGAGGCCCCTCTCGCGGCTGGCTTGGCGAGGGGAACAGAGGCGGCCGCGCCTGCCTGCCTGCCTGCCTAGGAGCGTCTTGGCTGCCCGCGCGGCTTGGGCATCGTCCCGCCTTGGCGGGGGTCGCGGGCGCGCGCGGTGCGGGGGGAAACTGAGGCAGAGCCATTGACCTGGGCTTCTGAGGAGGCCGCGCGGGGCTGGAGGGCGGTGGGTTGGGGGGCGCCTGGCGGCTTTTTTTGTTTTGACGAGCGCCTTAGTTCGTCGCCGCCGTCCGAGCCTTGGATATTATTAAGACGCTTGACTGAAACCACCTCAGGCGCCGCCGTCTTTCCCCTCCCCACCCAAGCAGCGGGGCTGCCGCTTTCTTCCTCTTCGGAGCCTGAAGACAAAGGAGATTCCCCCTCCCTGGGTGTTTTCGCTTTTTTGAAGAGGCCGAAGCCCCTTCGAGATGGGCTGCACGCTGAGCGCCGAGGACAAGGCGGCGGTGGAGAGGAGCAAGATGATCGACAGGAACCTGAGGGAGGATGGCGAGAAGGCGGCCCGCGAAGTCAAGCTGCTGCTCTTGGGTGAGGACGGCGGGAGAGGCTGCTTCTCCCTCGCTTTGCTGCCCAGAAATTGAATTCTCCACGGCAGCATCCAGCAGGAAAACAAGGCGCTGCTTTAGCCCCGTGTGAATGATCAGTTGCGTGTCAGATTACGTTCCTCCCTCCTCTGCAGCACTGACAGGGCAGTCCCACGCCCGTCTACTCAGAAGTAAGCCTTGCTGAGTTTGGTGGGACTTGCTCTCCAGTAAGGGCTTGCAAGGCTGAAAGGGCTGAGACTTCATCCTCGAGATCGCACCCTCGGCCTCGCCTGCCGCCTTCCACTTTTTGCCCTGCCAGTTAACAAGTTATCAGCCTCTTGATCTCAGCTGAAAGGTGCAGGGGAAGGAATTTGCCTTCTGAGCATCCTAATTGTGATTGGGGTGGTGGTGGGTAAAGTGTCGGTAAGATAGAACACCTCTGTGTTGAGAGACCTGTGATGTGTGGTCAGCTGTAAAGGCATTTTCAGTTGAACGAAGCCATATTTCTCGGGTACCATATTTGTAGCCCTTACTGCAGTATGTCACTTGGGCTCCTATTGTTTGCCTGAATGGTCTGCTTCTGTTGATGGCAAAAGCATAACTACAGGGCTGTGTAGGTGAAATGCTGCTAGCATGAAGGCTGCAATTCAGACCTGAATGTGAAAATCCTTTGAACAGGTCTGTGGGACTTACTCTTGGCGAATAGGATGGGAATGTTCATGGGCTTGAGCTGTAAATTTCTTAGAATAGTTGGATGACTGGTATCAGGAATAAGAAATGGCTTAGGATTGCTAAATGAAACACCCCTCCCTAAAGTAAACAAGTCCACATACACACTATGGAACTTAAGGTAGTTTGGGTACTGGTGTTTTATGAAAATCATTCTAAATAAGGTTCATCTGGAAAACTTTACAGTAGTTTACTATTCTTAATATTTTCTGTTGTTTAGTATGGAAGGAAAATACTTGGGTGCCCCACCCCTGTTCCAGAAATGTGTGTTGCTGCATTAGGCTATTGCTTATGAAAGTTTATACCAGATAATAAAGCTTGTGCTGCTTATTTTTCATACATATTCCCCTGTCCTGCACACTATGGATAACTTACTGCATTTCAGAGCACTTTCATGCATGCTAGTTTTCCTATATTGATATTGTTTATGTGTTGGTAAAAGTGTGTAAATCTGTCATGTGTGATAAATACAAATATATTTATCCTTTATATTGCAGCCCAATAGTACATTCTATGCTGAAGTGATATCTGTGGTCTAGGAAAATTGTCATTGGCTATTGTGGCCTTTTTAGCCTGATTGACTATGCATTTATGACTACATTTATTCAGGAGTGACTTCAATGGGACTGTCATCTAGGTACATAAGAACAATGGAAGCTGCTTTATACTAAATCCTACCATTGGTCCTTTTAGCTCAATATTGTCAACACTGATAGTATCAACTTCCCAAGTTTTCAGACAGGATTTTTTCTCAGCCCTGCATCAAGATGCCATGCAAGGGATTGGCCTTGGTTCCTTCTGCATGCAAAGCATGTGCTCTACTACTGAGTTACAGCCCCTCCCCTTAGGTAAGTGTGCATAGAATTATAGCATGATCTTCATATTTACCGAGAAGTGCATCTCGCTCCTGCATGTGAGTGCGTAAGGTTACAATCTTACCTGGAAGTACATCCCATTGAATTCACTGGAACTGAATAAATATGCATAGGGTTGTTCTGCATATATACATATCTAGAGTATTCAAATAGGGTATTTTAAAAGCCGGTCACTTTCAAGTTACGAGGATAGAATAGGAGAGTGATACAGATTAAACAAATAAAAGTCTTAATTTGCGCTGCAATTCCTCATTTAACTAAATACTGTTCTGGTTTGCCTATATTTCCATATTTTGACACTTAGGGCCAGATTCAACTCACCTGGTGCACTTGCAGAAGCCAGTGTAAGGACTCCCAGTAGCATAATGGGGTTCCCTCCTCCTTCCCCCAATTCCTTTGTCAAATCTGCTCTGGAGGTTTAGAACTGCTGCAACATCACACCAGGGTGAGAGGTTGTTTCATATGGCAGATAAATGCTTGTGCTGATGGAACTCTACCCTTAATTTTGTTAGGCTACGTATTTAATTGTGATTATCCATAGTTTGGACAATGAACATAATAATAGCCATTTATATAATGCTTTCATGCATTCAAAACACTTCAAATATATTATATTGTAACGTAAAAGGTAAAGAACCTCAGATGGTTAAGTCCAGTCGGATTTGACTATTGGGTGCGGCACTTATCTCTGCTTTCAGGCTGAGGGAGCCGGTGTTTGTCCACAGACAGCTTTCTGGGTCATGTGGCCAGCATGACCAAACTGCTGCTGGCACAGCAGGACGCCATGACGGAAGCCAGAGCACATGGAAACGCCATTTATCTTCCCGCTTCAGTGGTACCTATTTATCTACTCGCGCTGGTATGCTTTTCAACTGCTAGGTTGGCAGTTAGTTAACCGTTCAACAAACATGCAAATAGTATGTAAACTATTCTGTGGGTAAACCCTATCTCCACATTGCAGATGGAGGAGGTTTTTGGTTGCATCCAGTAAAGTAGTTTGCCTAAGGACATGCCATGAATTAATAGTAGAAGTGAGATACGAACTGTGAGTGCTCTAATTTGTGTCTTAGAAACCATGTTGTTGTTGTTTAGTTGTTTAGTCGTGTCCAACTCTTTGTGACCCCCTGGACCAGAGTATGCCAGGCACTCCTGTCTTCCACTGCCTCCTGCAGTTTGGTCAAACTCATGTTGGTAGCTTTGAGAACACTGTCCAGCCATCACGTCCTCTGTCATCCCCTTCTCCTTCTGCCCTCAATCTTTTCCAACATCAGGGTCTTTTCCAGGGAGTTTTCTCTTCTCATTAGGTGGGCAAAGTATTGGAGCCTCAGCTTCAGGACCTGCCCTTCCAGTAAGCACTCAGGGCTGATTTCCTTCAGAATGGAGAGGTCTTGCAGTCCATGGGACTCTCAAGAGTCTCCTCCAGCACCATAATTCAAAAGCATCAATTCTTTGGCGATCAGCCTTCTTTATGGTCCAGCTCTCATTTCCTATGTCTTCTATTGTGAATTCCATTGAATTCAGTGGGGCTTCTAGGTAACTTGGGCTAGAATTGTTGCCCAAGTTACTCCTGTTTAGTGAAATTCTTTCTGTATTGAAAAAGGAGTTTGCAATGTTCTTCTATTATTTATACTGCTTAATATGGAGGACAGCAACACAAGAGTGGGCCTTTTCTTTGGTGGCTCCCTGCTTACAGAATAAAAAGCAGGGAGGTTTGGGTTGGGGTTTCCCAGCTACTTTGTGTGGCTCTCCCCAGGGAGGCTCATCTGGTGCCTTTGTTACATATATTTAGGCACCAGACAAAAACATTCCTTTTCCAAGCCTTTAGCTAATTAAACAACCTATGGCATTTTTAACCACGGGGGTGGGTGGGGGGTATTGTTTTTGTTCATTACTGTGGTATGCATTTTTGTGTTTTTATATTGTAAACTGCCCTGTGATCCTCAGATGAAGGGCGGTATAGAAATTTAACTAACAACAACAATAACGGATGCCTGAAAGCATACAAGGACTACAGTTTACAAATCATTGTAATAAATTACTGTTGAAAACAGTTCAAAGTGTATGGAATATTATCATGGAAGTTCCTCTCATTCAAAGTATGCCAAATCTCATGCTTAACCATATTTTAGAATTACTGTAAATTAGGACCTCAGGCCCAGGGGCCAAACACATCCCTCCAGGACTCTTTATCTGGCCCTTGGGACACTCACCAGGTGACAGCCCTCAGCAGCTTTGAGGCAATCTGTACACATTTTCTCATATATGAAGCTTCACCACCTCCCCAGACCCATTTAAAAGACCATAGATTGTTCAAGCAGCCAAAAACCTGGTTGAAGAGGCTTAAAGATATGTAATGAGGGTGCCTGGCGAGCTGTGGATGCAAGCAATTTTACCCTCAAAATGCTTTCCAAACAAGTCATGGTGAGCTACCGTCGCTTTCGAGCCAGTCTGTAAAAGACCCCACACTTCCCAGAAAATGTCTGCCGGACGACATAATAAGGATGCAATGGAGGCAGGAAAGTATGCCTTCTTTCTGCCTTCACTGTCACTAGTTAGGCTCAACAATGAGCCCTCACTAGTGTTCGATAGCATTCAACTACAGTTTTCCTTCACTTGCATGCAAGCAGTTTTCCAGTTTGTTTCATTGCCCTAAGCTCTTGAGTGTATATCAAGGAGCCAGGCAGGCTCTATGAAGTGGGAGAGGGCTCTCAGGGGCAATGACCCATGGACCAGTTGTTGTTGTTTAGTCGTGTCCGACTCTTTGTGACCCCATGGACCAGAGCACGCCAGGCACTCCTTTCTTCCACTGACCCATGGACCTATTTAAGCCCAAATAAAAAAGACCAAAGAAAGAAACTTGCCCCCTCAAAGGACCCCACCCTATAAAGCTAATAAATCCCCTGCCCCAAATCTTGAAAATTCTATTTTAAAATATCAGGAGGAGCAGGGGGTCTCAGTTAAACTATATATATTACACAGGGAGTACGCAGGTGGTGCTATGGTCTAAACCACAGAGCCTAGGGCTTGCCGATCAGAAGGTCGGCGGTTTGAATCCCATGATGGGGTGAGCTCCCGTTGCTCGGTCCCTGCTCCTGCCAACCTAGCAGTTTGAAAGCATGTCAAAGTGCAAGTAGATAAATAGGTACCGCTCCGGCGGGAAGGTAAACGGCATTTCCGTGCGCTGCTCTGGTTCACCAGAAGTGGCTTAGTCATGCTGGCCACATGACCCGGAAGCTGTACGCCGGCTCCCTTGGCCAGTAAAGCGAGATGAGCGCCGCAACCCTAGAGTTGTCCGTGACTGGACCTAATGGTCAGGGGTCCCTTTACCTTTTACCCTGTGTAATAGGGTACTAATAGCACTCCTTCCTAATGTGAATTACTTGGGGGTGTTAGTTTCTGATTTAATTTAAAACACACAAATATGTGGTCACAGAATCATGGTTTAACAGGAACTAAGGTTCTTCTTTTCTCAGTTGCAACACTGATGTGATTTTTCAGTGATTCCACCTCCGACCCACAATACTCATTCTCCATTAAATAGGCCCATATGTTTGTTTGCAGCCTTCTGAAAAGACAAATGTGTTCAATGTAAATGCAAGCTGGTTTCCAGGTAACAGAATGAGGAGTTCAAATTGAAGCGAACAGGAACACAAGTACCGTAAAATAATTCAGACTTGAAAATATATTTGTTAAGTCAACCAGTAACTTCTCTTACAAATATATTTGTTAAGTCAACCAGTAACTACTCTTACTTGTTAAATCAACTGTCTGTATATTGATTTAATTAAGGACAATAGGGCACTATATTAGTATGTCATTGGATACGACTACAGAAGGATCCAACCAAAATCTGTTGGCAAAGTTAATATAACAAAAAGATCTATGGAAATGTGTGGGTTATTAAATGCTCAAGGTCCTGAAAGTGATATAGATGAAATGTGTGGCAGATAATTTGGAAATTAGAATAGAATGGGGCTTATATTTGATTTTTGAGATAGTCTGAATAAACTGGGGTAGTAAAATTGTTGCCAGATTTTTTTTAAAAAAGCGAAGATTTTAAAAAAGAGAAACAATATTTCTGCATGAAATTACATAAAATTAAAAAGACAATATGATCTTGAATAACAATAGGAAGCCATTTTATGCTTTCTTTTGTGGTTTGAAATCAGTAGTATACTTGATATTTTGGTATGTGGCTAGATGGTCTTCCTAGAGATGTAATGAAGCTGTATCAACTTTTTTTAAATTTTGAGATACTACATTAATCTATCGTCTTCCACTAATTTTTATCTTAATGGTGCAGCTATAGAGACTTGTTTCGTTTTTGATAATTCACATTTCATTTTAAAAAAAATAATATTTATTGATTTTCCAACCATTTGAACACAATAAAGCAGAAAAAACAAAAAAGAAAAAGCAAAGAAAAAAAGAGAAAAAACATAAGATTAACAAAACAAGACGCAAACCATTTAAAACACAAAAACAATTTCAATATCTTAACTTTCATTCCCTTATTTCCACGACCTCCTCACGCCTCCCTTTCTGTATTCCACTTCTATTAATTGTTTTAGCAATTCCTTTCCATCTTCCTCTGTTTTCTATCCTATAATTATCTTAACAAATTCTAATCTTATTTTTCCCTTTAATACTCTATTTCTATTTATACTTAATTCCTTATAACATTTCTACTAAAGCCATAGAACTTCATTCCAACATTTTTCTAACATTCATTATTTTTACAATATTTCTATACATAGTCTTAAACTTTTTCCTGTTTTCTTCCACCAACTCTTCTTCCTGGTCTCGGATTTCTGCCAGTCCTTTCCGCCAATTCCATATGATAATTCACATTTCAAAAAAACATGATTTTTGATCTTGGCTTATTAGGAAGCAACTTTAACCATCATTATTTTCCCCAAAGAATCATGGGAACTGTAGTTTGTTAAAGGTGCTGAGAGTTGTTAGGAGACCCCTATTCCCCTGACAACACAGCTACACTTTCCAGAGAAATTTAATGAGTCCATCTTCCTAGGGAATTCTGGGGATTAGAGCTCTTTAAGGGTACCCCCCACATACACAGGTCACACATACACTTGATACTGAAATCTGCTACATTTATCTTTGATTTACTAGAAAGGAAACATCCCTGGCAAGCCAGGATGGAAACATGTGATGTAATCATCCCAGTGAATTTGAATATAGCCGCATAATTTTTCTTAAGTGGTGAAGTAATTCATGGGGAAAACCTGGTGTGGACAGACTTCAGGCTTGCAGTGTTTTCTGTTTTGTTTACTGGAACCATCTCCATCAAATGGTGCTTAGGTACAAAATACTGGTTTCACCCCAAGCTTAATCAGTAGCCCAGAGTAACCAATGTGGTGCTCCCCAGATGTTGGACTGCCATAATTCCCTAGCAGAATGGCCAACAAGCAAGTATGATAGTCCAACAACATTTGGAGAACATCACTTTGTCTGTCCCTGAGTAGCTTGATTTTGGAAGGCTGTCTCTGGTTTAGAAGCAAGCATCAGACTTGTCCATCTTCCTCCTGTTGGGCTGCTCACCTGTCAATTACTTGATGTCGTCATGATGTTAGATGACCCAGCTTCAAAGGAAAGAAGCACTCCAAGAGTGCACTCCAAGTTTTTAATGTGATTTCATCAGTAAGATGTATTCATGAGAAGGAAGCATAATTGGAATCCATAGTTATATATGTTTTTATTCAATATCTTACCTGTGTTTTACTGCAAGGTCCCAGGGTAGGTTAGAACAATTGTTTACCTCTTTTGTTCAAATTCATGAAATGTCAGAACTGATAGCTAGATCTCTTAGTTTTATAAATCATTAATTTAGTTCAAATTTACTGAAAAACTTTAAAGTACTAAAATACTTCTCTCCAACAACTTTAACATATTCAGTGTACCTCTGGATGCGAACGGGATCCGTTCTGGAGCCCCGTTCGCATCATGAGCAGAACGCAACCTGCGTCTGCGCGCATGTTGCGATTCGTCGCCTCTGTGCATGCGTGTGGCATCACTGGCGTCTGCGCGAGCGGCGAAACCTGGAAGTAACCCGTTCCGTTACTTCTGGGTCGCCACAGGACGCAACCTGAAAAGATTTAACCCAAAGTGTCTTTAACCCAAGGTATGACTGCATTGGAATAGTAGTGTGTGGATGTTCACATGTAAATATTGTAGCAATACAATTGTTTCTTATGTCTGTTCAGGCAGAGACTGTAACTTGGTAACAGAACATATGTTTTGCATGAAGAAGATCCCAGTTTCAATTTCTGGTGCCTCCAGGCAAGTCCAGGAAAGAGTTGATTGGAAATATTGGAGAGCTGCTGCCAGTTGGTGTAGATGCTACTGATCAAGATGGAGCCACAGCTTCCTAGAATTATATATTGGAATATGAAGCTTGCCAATGTTCCCAGTAGTTTGCCTACCTCAATGCTTCTCTGGTAGCAAGCAGCCAGGCACCTCTAGCCTGTACGATGGTGATATCCTCTTGTTTTGTGTTCATTCTTTGGTATTTTGAATTATCCTGGCTCTCGAGTTATATTCCTGACTCACACCCAGGTTGGAATATTATCTTCCATTATCTTCCAGGAAGTAATTTGCAGCTAATCAGATTATGGTGTAAATGTGAAAAGAAACTATTAATAACCATAATAATGTGTGGTGGGGTGTGTGGAGAGAGATTGCCAATAGGTTCAACCTTTACTTAGTAACTTGGTTTTTGTATGGGCAGATTTAATGCCATTGTTTTAATGGCAGAAGTGGTGTAAATTTCATTATTTCCATTAATAGCAAACTCTAGTGTGTTGAGTACTGAGTCTAGGAATCAGAACAGATTCACTGACAAGAGGGCAGTATCAACAGGCTCATGGGAACCTGAGATAGGCAGACATTCCAATAATTTAAAAATTCCTAAAAGGGCTACTCTACTCCAAACAATATAATAAACACAGAAGGAGTGTCATGGAACCATGCAGTTGGAACAGAGAAATGGGAAACAGGGAGAGTGAATTGGCCTCTTTCAGATTTCTGGAGGGGGGGTATGACCAGATGACCTGTTTAACAGGAGTGTTCCTAGGGATACACTTTTAGTATTTGTACGAATTCCACTTGTTTTTCCTAATGATGAAATCGTTAATATAAGTAATTGAAACTCCCAAATGTACAGAAAAAAGGGATTTAAAAATGTTCCACACATAAAATGTTGTAAAACACATTTAACAGAATTCAAACTTCCCACAATCAGTTTCACACTGATTTCCAAATATTGCATTGTATTATATACAGTTTGTATAGTGTGCTGGCAAGGCCTGCTTAGGCCTCACGCATTAATTGAGACACCAACATAGAATGTGCTCCATAGTTTCCTATAGCTGGGCTTTGCAAGTGCAGATCAGTAGTGGTGGACAAACTATTTTGGTTTTTTAAAAGGAATGTGGACTACTATTACTGATATTTTGTTTGCACAACCTCTCAACCTCAGTGGAAATAAAGCTTGAAAAGTGCTGATATATGGAATGAGCAACAGGCTTTTGGTTAACAATGTTTTGGGTGTTGTTTTTCATAGGAGCTGGTGAATCAGGAAAAAGCACAATTGTCAAACAAATGAAGTAAGTATGTTTTAGGAGTGAAAACAAAGTTAATAGATGACTTTTAGTTAAAACAAAGACTGATTTTTCTTTCTTTTTTTAGGATTATCCATGAAGCTGGTTATTCAGAAGAAGAATGTAAACAGTACAAAGCTGTTGTCTACAGTAATACAATTCAATCCATTATTGCTATCATTAGAGCAATGGGGAGGTTGAAGATAGACTTTGGGGATTCTGCTAGAGCTGTAAGCATTGATGTACTCCTTACTTAATGTTCACTTTCATTGCTGTACTTCTGAAATCCATTTACAAGAATTAGTGAACTATGTTCTGTGTGAAATAGTTAATCTTTTTCTTTCAACACATCTTCTCTGACCAGACAAGGAGTCAGCTTGAAAAATAGGGCAAGTTTTCATATCCCAAAATCTTTGCATGGGTGAAAGAAGTAAAATACTAGATGAAACGGCAAAGAAAGATTAATTGCCACACACAGGAAAGAGGATATAGTTTTGAGTTCTTCACTTGCAGTTTTATAAATCATTTAATGTGCCAACACAAATAGAAGCTAGTATTATTGCAGTTGCTGTATAAGGATTATTATGACCAGAATGCAATGGAAATTAATAAGATTCTTGAACGCAGAAATAAAGAAAATAACCAAACCATCAAATCTAGCATGTGGAGGGCCACTTTATCTAAATTATATTATCCGATATTTGAACGATTGGTATTAATAATTGTATTACAAATTGGAACTGTTATAATGAGGCTATTATTGGATTGTAATTGAAAACTAATAAAAAGTATAATAAATAAATAAATAAAAAGTCAGTTACTTTCAAGACCTGTGGAAAATCTAAGGCAGGACAAAGAATCTGTCCCCCTTCATGCCTAAACAAGGTGGAAGAAGCCAGTTAGATGCCATTAGAGTACATCATCTGTGACTTTTGACCATGATTGCTGGGGCTTATGGGAGTCCAATAACACCTGCTAGGTCACAGGTTCCCTACCTCTCCTCGAAAGTCAACTTGTATGAGATGGTTGTATAAAGCTTTTGAGAAGTAGTATATTAAATAATTTGGCTGCATTAACAGAAGTATGGTGTCCAGATTAAGGGAAGCAATAGTACCACTCTATTCTACCTTGGTCAGACCACACCTGGAATGCAGTGTCCAATTTTGGGCACCACAATTTATGAAGAGTTTTGACAAGCTGGAACGTGTGCAGAGGAGTGCAACCAAGATGATCAAGGGTATGGAAGCCAAGTGTTATGAGGAATGGTTGAAGGAACTGGGTATGTTTAGGCTGGAAAAGAGGAGATAGGATGGCCATCTTCAAATATCTCAAAGGCTGTCACATGGAAGGAAGATGGAACAAGTTTGTTTTCTACTCTAGGGGGTAGGACTCAAACCAATGGCTTTAAGTTACAAGGAAGAAGATTCCAACTAAACATCAGAAAGAACATCCTGATAGTAAGAAATGTTCAGCAGTGGAGCAGACTCCTTCAGGAGGTTGTGGACTCTACTTCCTTGGAGGTTTTAAAGCAGAGGCTAGATGGCCCTCTGTCATGGATGCTTTAGCTGAGATTCCTGCATTGCAGGGGGTTGGACTAGATGACCCTTGGGGTCCCTTCCAACTTTACAATTCTGTGACATTTTGGAAATCCCCATTTTCTTAAAAAAAGATTTCTTGTAATACAGACGTTAAATGTTTTTTGTTTAATTTTATTTATGTGAATTGATTGTCAACTTTGTAGAAAAGTAAACAGCTGTTTTGCTATTATGACAGTTTGAAAGCTGAATAGAGTTTCTGGGAACCTTCACAGTTTTTGTTTCTTTTTTAACAGGATGATGCTCGTCAACTCTTCGTTCTTGCTGGATCAGCAGAGGAAGGCTTTATGACAGCAGAACTTGCTGGAGTTATCAAGAGACTGTGGAGAGACAGTGGCGTTCAAGCTTGTTTCAACAGATCAAGAGAGTATCAGCTTAATGACTCAGCAGCATAGTAAGCTTAAAACAAGAACCAGCATTGCTGTGATGGCACAGTTGCCAAATTCATTTTGCTGCTGAAAAGAGAAGCAGCAAGCGAGGGATACAAGTGAGGGACTCTTAAAAAAAAAAAAAAGTCCAAAGAGATTTTGAGATGAGCACATTCTTATCACTATATTTCTGATTAAATCCCTAAACTAGCTGAGCAAAGTATAGCAATACATTTTATTTCCAGTATAGTGTTGTTGTTCTTTTAAAAAGATGTTGCCAAATAGATGAAATACATCTAAAATTAATAGTACTGTCAGTCTATGATGAATTGCTGTCAACTTTGCCAGGATAGAAATAATCACAATGTTCTGAAGTTGTCATTTTATACATATATGCATAGGGTAATACAATATTCAACATTGTTTATACTCGGAGTAGACCCATTGATAAAGTTAAATAATTTCAATACATATTTATGCATACATTACTTACACACACACACGTATGTAATATAAGATAGCAAAATCCATAGCTTATATTTACTAACAAAATGGCTACACCTGGATAGTGGAGTCAGATTAACCTGGCAAGGTGGTAAAATAAACATAACCTTGCTTTTAATCTACTATTACATACTACACATATTCTGCAAACTTAATAAAGCAAATAGTATTTCTTGCCATCTCCGCATGATGATAAGCCAGAATGTGTATGAAATCAGCCTTATTTTTTCCAGTGGGTTTTTACATGTAGAGTCAACCTTAGATTTAATTAATTGGTAAATCAACATTTAGTTTAATTTCCTGTTGGCATTTCATCTAACATATTTATTTCCTCTGAGGTTATAATCACTATCCTACTAATTGTACCTAAAAGTGAATCCCACTGATGTTGTTGGGACGTCCCCCGAAGAAAATGAACATACATACGAATGTAACCTTAGAGCTCAATTCTATATCTGCTCAGAAGCAAGTCCTACTAAGTTTGGTGAGGCTGCCCACCAAGTGTGTGTAAGATTACAGTTTTAGGTTGTGTGCATTCTTACTTGGGAGGAAACCCTACTGACTACAGTTGGACTTGTCTCTGAGTACACATTCATAGGATTTTACTGCGAGTGTTATTGAGTTTATTTACTTGTTAAATCATGTTTTTAAATCACTTCCAAAAAGGTAAAAATTTTGCTACTGTATTACCTAAATGTGTCAGGTGGTGTAGAATAGAGTTATTCGAAACTGCCCATAATTTATCTGTACCCTACCAATACCTGAGTAGCATGAAGTTGGTATTTACTGTCCATGCCATTTGTTTCAAATTGCATGTTATGCTTAAGTATCAAACAGCTGATTTATATTTTTATTTTATACATTAAAAAAATACTTCTAGCTACTTGAATGACTTGGACAGGATAGCCCAGACTAGCTATATCCCGACACAGCAGGATGTCCTCAGGACTAGAGTGAAAACCACAGGAATAGTGGAAACTCATTTTACTTTCAAGGATCTCCATTTTAAGTGAGTAGTCTCAGGAAATATGATATGTATATATTTTGTGTAACTATTTTGTATAAAATGTTAATATTTTCAAAGAGTAAAAGCTACTTACATTTTACAAATGTAGATACTTTCCTGGTGTCCATTGGAAAAATCCTACTATCTGTTCTGAGGCATTCTATAGCAAGCAAAGAGATATATTAACAGTTCTCTTTTCCAAGCGTTTCTTCTAATTCCTACTTTCTTTGCTGGATATCCTTAACTTCTATAACATGCCATTTTTCAGTTTGCTCTTCATAACTTATAATTCTTCTTTATCTCCCAAAAACCAATAAATGCATGAATCTTGTAATTTTCATATTAATTTTGTATTGCTGCTCTGCAGGAGGAGGAGGGGTGGGTTACATTAGAGAATTTACTTAGCAATATAAAGCAATCTGAAAAAAATCATTGCATTTGAATGTGATATAATAAGAGGGCACTAAGCTGCACAGCACATCAGTTACACAACTAACTTTCCACCCTATTTCCCAGTGATTGGTTTCAGTCCCTTCCGTCTCTCCTTCCTGGTGTTAACATCTGAGGAAGAGAGGCGGGGACATATGTAATTGTCAGGTAAGATTAGAGAAAACTGCAGGCAAATATAGTGCTGCTCTGTAGGCAAGTATATGTAGTATTACTGTGATGATACGCTTCGGCTCATATTCTAAAATGTGGATTTATTGATAATCTGCATTAATGAGCATGTTGTTGTTTAGTCGTTTAATCGTGTCCGACTCTTTGTGACCCCATGGACCAGAGCACGCCAGGCTCTGATAATGAGCATAGATTAATGAGCATAGAAACCTGTAATTTAAAATGTTATCTGGTTAAATTTTGCTCCCACATAACAGTGTTTGGAGGCAAATTTGGAGGCTAAAATTGCAATAGCCTACATCTTCAGCTACATTTGACCTAATCAGAAGAATCATTCTTGAATTTGGGGGAAATCCCGTCTTAAAATAATCATTCACATTTTTTCCCTTTTTTCCCCCAGGATGTTTGATGTTGGGGGCCAAAGATCAGAACGGAAAAAATGGATTCACTGCTTTGAGGGAGTAACAGCCATAATTTTTTGTGTTGCACTGAGTGATTATGATTTGGTCCTTGCTGAAGATGAGGAAATGGCAAGTAAACCCACTTTGAAACAAGGAACATTAGGTAGGCCAGGCCCACCCAAGTTAGTACAGCTCTTTGTGTTACACAGTAGTCCTAGGTCCGCTTCTGACAATGACAGCAGCATGAGATCTGTTACAGCATATGAGCTTCCTGTGCCACTTTTGTAATACTGAACAATTTAGGTCACCTATACAGACTCAACAATGTCAGCACTGCTCAGTTTCCTCTGCATGGAAAAAGGCATGTAACGGGTTCTTCCTATATTTTATAGATCTTCCAAAACTATTGTGTGCTGCAGAAGCGAGAGCACGTAGCACGTAGCTCTTACCCACCAAAGCTAATCGTGGAAGGAGCCCCTGTATTCTGTGAAACTTCTAAATTAAATACTGTCCTGTTATTTATCATCATTAGATAGGGAATGTGAGTGGGGTAATCACCATGTCTAAGCAGATGATGGTTTATAGATTTTGTAAACTGGTAATGCAACCTTTTCCAGAGTCAGATCCCACTGAAAGCAAAATGTGCAAGTCTCCAAGAATATAGAAAAAAAGTTACTGTAAATTAATAGGTCTCAATTCATCCAGATTTAGACGCCCATTTAATTCCAATGGGAGAACTAAACATATAAATGGAATTTCAAAGTGTTTAACTTTGGATTGATAGAGGCCGTTGCCTGAAACATATAATCATCCATTAGAAATTATTATTTTGCCCTTCTTCACCTAATCCATTGTCCTCCTGGAGAGTTCAGTAACTTGGAAAATGTCCTGACACACAAGCTTCCAAAAAAAACATGATGTAGGCTTTTTGGGTTTCATTGGGTAGGAGAGAGGGGGCTAAACTTATATATCATATTTTTCCATTGCAGAATAGGATGCATGAAAGCATGAAATTATTCGACAGTATCTGCAACAATAAATGGTTTACAGACACTTCCATTATCCTCTTCTTAAATAAGAAGGATCTTTTTGAAGAAAAAATCAAAAGGAGTCCCCTCACTATTTGCTACCCAGAATATCCAGGTATTTACCATTTTATTTCCAAAAGAAACAAAAACTGAAAGAGAGAAGAGAATGTATTGATCTGATACCTTAGGTTATAACAGTTGAGAAAACCATACTTGTAAATAAGTACCAGATTACTGTAAGTCAGAGACTTTCACTGTGCAGCTCGTATAGCCCACTCTAACCTTTTACAAAAAGTAGTGTAGTATTCTAATAATCGGTATTGTTTTGCTGTCTGATTAAATGAGAATATTATCTGCAGTCTGTATAATCAGTGTTTGAAAATTTGATTGTGTATAAGCCTGATGACGGAGACTGCATTGTTGTTGTTGTTTTGTTCAATACCCAGAAAAAGAGATGCTTCAGAGTAATAATAATAATGAACCAAATTCTTATATGAAAAAGCAGTGCTTATCAAACTCTTTCAAGAAATTCTATCTCTCTTTAGCAGCTCATCAGGGACTCTGTAGTGAGGAGAAAAGTAATAGTGACAGATTTATACTTTAGTGCACGGCTGTAAGGAAGTATGGACTTTATTATTGTGTATACTCTCAATTAAGGCAGAGCAGAGGTAAGCCCAGGAATCCTGTTGCAGTGCCCCATCAAAAACTATGTGAACTGTAGACCATGACTCAGAATTCTTTGCAACGTGCAGGAGCTTCATGGTAGCAACTTGGGAGGTGGAGCACCAGAAGAGATGAAATGGGAAGTTTTCTGTGACAGTAGAATGTTTGAAAAAGAATGTTAGATGAACAAGTGTGGCAAGGAAGGTTACTTTGTACATTACTTAGCAGGAAGGCAATATACAAATTTTATAAACATGTTAAGTTTATAATGACTGTTTACCATTCGTAATTTTGACTGCCACAGCAACATCTCGGATAATCCAAATTTATTCAGGCTAAATCTTCACTACCAAATTCTTATTTCAGAGTGCTGATCTATGACGGGGGGGAAAAAACCTGCAGTGATATAATTCACGTAGATCTCTTCAAGCTTTCTTCTTCTTTTTGCCTATTTCAAATGACATATCTCACTTTAGAAGTTTTAAGACAAAGCCTATGATTCAGAGAGAACTTTATGTTCTGAAAAATGCTATGCCAGATAAGGATAAGTGTAAAAACTGTTATTGATTTAGGCAATAATCCTAATATGCACCATTGAACCCTGAGTGGCTTATTTCTGAGTAAACAGGATTGCACCTTAGACCAGCTAGAGTTTATTTGTTTTACAAGTTAATCGCTCTGAATGGTTTTAGGGTTGGTTAACATTTTTAGAGCCAAGGGTTTGACCCTTCAGCGGCCACATACCTCCAGTTGGTATGGCCACCACATACTCTCACAAACACCCACACTTATGCACACATACAAAGGCTCACAGCCCATCCCTCAGGGAGGGCAGTTATTTCCCCACCTTGCTCATCAAATGATATATATGATGATCGGGGAAGAAGTGATTTGTATGCCCATCAGGCTGCTAGACTGGGCTGAGAAGTTTAAACTTACCCATCCACAACAGCAGCATGTCTACTTTAATTTTTGTTTCTTTTTACTACTGAAATCAGCAGGGCCTGATGCAGGCTCCAACCCAGGGATTAGTCACCCCTGGTATGTATTAAGCATTCTAGAAATAATTAAATTACAATTTTTCTACCATTTACTGTGCATAAGTAAAAACAAAGTGTGACATCCTGGGATTGACCACCCATTAGTGAAATGGACTTCTGCTGGCAGAACCAGAATGTCTCTTCCTTTTCCTGCAGCCCCTCATGCCCCTCACACAAACAACCCCAAATGTTCACTGGAGGGTTGAGAGATCCTCTAGAGCAGATTTGGGGAGAGGAATGAAGAAAGTAGGGGGCTGCATTGTGCATTCAGAAGTCTATCTGCACAATATTGGATTTTTTTCCCCAGAGTTCTTTAGCTCCTTAAAAACTAACAAGACTACTATGACAATTCTTTTGTGGACTAAAGCCCACTTCCTTGGCTACAGGAAGGTTTTTTTGTTTTGTTCCTGTTTTTATCATGCATTTTGTGCTTTTATATTGTATTTTTATGTTGTGAACCACCCTGAGGTCTGTGGATGAAGGACAGTACATAAATTTAATAAATAAATATTGATCTATTCATATTAGAAGACACACATACAAAAAGAGGGGGGGAAGCATTGGGCCAGATGTCATGAAATAGAAATTTACATTCATACAATTCAATTGAAAATTAAATATGCAAAATAAGCTCAGTAACAATGTCAATATTTTGTTGACAATGGTGATCTTAACATTGCTAAATTACTGTTGTGGGATAGAAAATCATCATCTTAGTTCAACATTCTAGTTGAGTTCTAATTCTGCAATTTCATCCTATAGTCTCTTTTGCAAATGTGTTTGCTGTAGAATTGCCACTTTTGAAGATTGAAATGTTTCCCCATTAGTTTCTGAAATGTTGCCCTTTCTAAGGTAGAGATCTTTTTGCCATATAAAAAGACTATTCTTGATAGGTATTAGCTTAAATAACATTAGAAGACGTAGCAGATAAATTAAACTTTGAAGTTACTAGAGCTGATGTTAGTAGATTCTTAATGGTGTTACCTGAGCAGGTATAAAGATGATCTTTCAAATAAGTCAGATGAAAATTAGTCAATCTTTCTGTTATTGTCCCTGTTGTTATAAAGCATGTGCTACAATCTTCTGTTTTAGAATTTTGTTTGTGCATTTCATCTTATTCTTTTTTTTTAGGATCAAATACATATGAAGAGGCAGCTGCATATATCCAGTGTCAATTTGAGGACCTGAACAAAAGAAAAGACACAAAGGAAATTTATACTCACTTCACATGTGCTACAGATACTAAGAATGTTCAGTTTGTCTTTGATGCTGTAACTGATGTTATCATAAAGAATAACCTAAAAGACTGTGGTTTGTTCTAAACATTTATATCAAATTGTACCTTTTTTTGCATTAACCAAATGAGTCACAACTTCATTTTTTTAGACCATAAATATGTTCATGAGTGATACTTTAGTCATACTCAGACTAGACACTCTAAATTATTGGACTTAAATTTATTGATTTCAACAAATCTACTCTGAGAATGACTAACATTGGCTACCACCCTATGTTTTTGTTTATGTAATCTGATTTTCCTGGTCTTGATTAGGTTGAAGCATAAAATTCAAATCTACAGGTTTATGTGGTAACATGAAAAAGCATTGGCCAGACCAATATTGTACTAGCTTGTTTAAACAGTTTTATTTATGTTTGTTGTATAGATTTAAATAGTGTTGAATAACAATCAACACACCATGATTGACTGTTTATGTGTGACTGTGTGTTGTTTATGTAAACATTGAACAAATATTTTAATGCATCCCGTAGAATTTTCATGTTTTAAGGACTGCTTTTTCTGTAGGAGAAAATGTTTTTCCTTTTAGATTTTTCATTATTCAAACAAATCTTTTTTAAAAAAACGCCAGAAACCCTTAATTTTCCATATAATACATGTGACATAGTTGTTCTTAGATTTTATTTATGCCCCTGTAATTAGCATAGTAGGCTTTTTCTTGATTATAGGATCCTTTACACTTGCTCAGGATTAAATAAGAAATGCCCCAATGGATTTCCCCGAGTTATTTTCTCCCAAACTTTTAGAGAACCACTTTTGAACATTTCAGATTTACAGCAAACAAGCCATTCTCCCATCTTGCATACTTCTATGCCAAATGTTTTAACCGTTAGAGGAGAATTCTTGCTGTGATTCAGCATGTAGAATCATGATCCTCAGAAAGTACATGCCCAAGACATTCTAGATTTCCTTCTAGAAGAAATCCATAGCATTGATTGTGTCTCCCTGGATGGAAGCATATTTTTTTACTTGTTTTATATTTTATTGGTTCCTTTTAGCTTGTGTGTCTCGTGAGACATACTAAAAGAAAAAGTATTTGAATTAAAATCAAGGAGTTGTGTTCAACCAAGTCTTACTCAGAGAAGACACACTGAATTGAATGAACCTAAGATAGTCATGTTTATTAACTTCGAGTGTACTCAGAGTAGAATTTGCTGTGTATACCATCCAAGGGATGGAAATGAACATTTCAAGCTTCATGCAGTTTTACCAATGTAAATTTTCTTTGCCTTTTCTCAGGGGAACGGCCTTCTACTTTTAATATGTGTTCCATGAAAGCTTAATGCCAACTTTTTTAAACACAAAGAAATTTTCATTCAGAGCAGTGGGCACATTATCCATTGTAATTGAAATACATATGCAAATAGGGGTTTTTGCATGCTTTCAGAAAGAAAATATTGTCCAACAAGTATCATTTGTCTCATACAGTAACATGCAGAGTTACTGGGATCCAGAGAGGCCCATACACAGGTGCAAGGCACTTCCATCCACACAAGGGGACAAGATGTGGCATCTTTTCCCCTCCCTTATGGCAGCAGGTTCCTTATTTGCAGGTGCTGTTTTTGAGGGCCTCCAACCTTCAGAGTTACATTTGTGGAGCATAGAGTGCTCCTGCTAGAAGGGAGAAGCTGGCAAGTCCCCATATATGAGTGGTGCACTGCACAGGGAGCTTTGAATCCTTGCCTGTGTAGATCCCATGGAGGTTTCATCATCATTTGCTTCTGCTCCCAAAGAGGCAAACCATTATGGCCTGCCTTTTTAGCAGTTAGAGCTGCTACGGGAGGAGTCTCAAAAACAGGCTCAACTTACTATGTTGTGCCTTACTGATAACTAAAAGGTTACTTTGAATTGCAGCTGTATTTTACATTGCTTTATGCTACAAGGCTGATTGTAATGTCTATACAGATTTCTAAACACACATAAACATGAAATAAGGAGCTTTGTAAATAAACGTTGACTTGGCTTTCTCTATCATTCTGTCACCTAAAATACTGATGTAGCCAAGTTGCAAATATTGTTTTCTTTTGGTATGTTGGTAGATTTCCCACAGAGAATGTGTTCTATGTTTCTGTCTATTCCTCTCTCCCCTGTCCAAATCAAACAAAACTCTGAACATGGTCCTGTTTAGTGTTATGTTCGGAAGGGTTTAGCCCAAACATAACAAGATCTCTACTGTTTTTCAGTATTGATCTAAATTGTCACCTTGCCATCCATGTTCCATTCTGGGGAATATTTAAATTATTGGTGTAAATCCCATTTGCATCCTGCCTTTCCTCTAAGAAACTGAGGGCAGTGTACATGTGCTTGAAAGCACAAGTTTACTAGAGAAAACAAAATGGCAGTGAAATGGTGGAAATGGACGGAACAAGTCTAAACAGACTTGAAGTATTAGCACCCAAAAAAGTGGTTTGTGTACTCCGACAGTTGTGCATCATCGTGCTTTATTCGTTTAATTCTGTCACTGAAGTATTTGGTAGTAAATGTATCTATATCCTTAATATTAGATTTTGTACATTACTGCAGTTTTTTAAAACAAGATTAAACTACAAGAAAATTTCAATTTAAGTTATTTGTGCCTTGTCGAAAGAAATATTTTTTCATTGAGCACAACTAGTGAAAAGCCTTCTGTAACCATAAGTGAAGTGCAAACAAAATAAAAATATGAGTAAGTTCAAATGCTGTTTTGGAAAGATAAGTATATCTTAATGGCAATTGCTTTGATGAATTGCAGTTACACTTGTTACTATTCTCTCCACACCTAAGAATCTTTCTTTTCCATATAAATGTCTACCTCCCCTCTACTTATAATCTGACACTGACAGCCAGGTTTGGTCAGATCTAACAACCCTACTGTGGAGCAGTTCAATCATAAATTTCCCACAGCATCTGTAGTCCTTGGTGGGGATTTTATGCCCCAATTGGAGCAACTGCGGAGGATTCCCTTTAGGCTTAGAAGGTATCTTCCTAACCCCGCATTGTTCTTTGGATAAGAAATTTAACGCATGCGGCCTGAAATGTTTGGAATTCGTATCCCAACCTAATTTATTTACTCTTCACGGTAGTTCTGTAGACATATCTAAAGGTCGGTACACTTATTTGAACAAACATGGGGGAAGAGCTAGCAAAAAATTATAGTCTTCATTATTCACATTTGTGAACACTTGGAAGTATTAGAATGAACAGATAGTGACCACTTTCCAATATCTGTGACCCTATGTCCCCTAATAGGACACATACCAACAACTGGATCTGCAAGAATGTGTGGGGAAATACAGAGCATGAAAAGTCTGAAAGGGCCTCATAGATTGAGCAGTGATATTCAGGAGACGCTATATAGTAATCATCTGAATACTCATAGGTCTGCATGACTATAGATGACTTACATATCATTATCCCAGTATGAGTGATTTTGAAGAATTATTTAAGTAACATTACTGACTATCATGCCATTAGGCTATGTGAGCTTGCCAAAAGTGTTCTAATTTCAATTTGCCTCAGAATTGATTTTGTGCTGTGTTGTAGTTGTTAAATACTCTCATGCTGCCCACCAAATAGTCAGAAAGTATTTGTGACCACGTAAAGATTGGGTGTAGCTGAGTGAGTACCAGTCACATCTCTTCCCAGCTGCTTTGCACAGCATCTGTCATTCAAGTGATTTGTATGGCTTTCACCTTTGCAATTGTATTGATAGAAACTGAGCTGTAATCTCTTCATCTACTGGGGATCCAGCTCCTCAGGAGAAGAAATATATCGGAGGCAGTTTTCTGTAAAGCATTTGTCCTCTGTAGAAAAAATGAGCAGGAGTGTTCATTCGTTTTATATGACATGGTTGGAAAACATTTTAATCGAAGGGAGGCAGACTCGGGTGGAAGCATTTGCTTGGTCTAGCTTTGATGATCAAGGCATTGGCATTCCTCCCGTTCAGGCTGTAATCTTGCTTCTCCACCACCCCCAGACAATTCAGATGCAGGAAGCACTGCTTTTGCTGGAGGCATTATTTTTGCTTTGTTTGCCTTCAGGGGTGGCATCAAAGCACCAGATCTTATATGGTGTGCAGTGCTGTGCCATTATCATGCTTACTCAGTCATCCTTGGTTGACCAGGATCACAGTGATCATGGGAAGAAGCATTGAGGAGGTGAGAGGAAGTTGCTGAAATAGCAGAGCTTGCTTAGGAAGAAGCCTGAAAAGAGACAAATGTTTGGGTAGGTTGGGGAGTCACAGTTTGTGTGTGTGAACATTTGGTGCACTGTTAACGTTTGAAAAGCATGGATCTTCCAGGTGCATATAGAGAGATATTCACTGAATGTTTCTGCAATAGTCACTCTTGTGGGGTGCAAGAAATTCAAAGCAGACAATATAAAATGTCCTCAGTTCTTTGAAGCAGCCATTCAAGAAAAATATTCATAAAAGCAAATGCCAGCTCTGGAAACAGTACTCTGGTGTTTATGCAAGCCAATAAAATATTTAATGGTGGTCCAGTGAAATGCACTCAAGGATATTATCTATGGATGAAGTCAAAGCAAAAACCACAACTTGAGTATTTCTGTTTCTAGTGAATTCTTTCTTTTTAATGGGCTTTCAACTATTGCAATGCAGGCTTTTTTGTTATTCTAATTTATGAAAGTTGTTGTACCATTTATTTTGAGTATTGGGCTATAGCATTTTTATTTGAAATCTTCTGTCTTTCCATAAGCCAAGCCTGTAGGTGGAAGCTTTGCACATTGACTGCACCATCAACTTTTTTCTACTCGGAAGTGAGTGTCATTGAGCTCAATAGGGCTTACACCCAAGAAAGAGGGAACAGACTGCATCCTTACTTGAGTATCTATTATTGCATGTTTTGTAGACAGTCACAGCTCTGGGAAAATAAAATTAAAAAGTATATAATGCTTTATTTCCAGCAAAAAGGCTTTTTTAAATGTTAAGGCTGCAAATTAGAAGATGTAAAAATCATGATTTCAGGCTCAAGGACTTAGATCCATATGCATGTTATTCATATGTACTTCATCTTCACTGAAATTTGTTTGTTTGTTTTGCAACTGAAATCCTGTTCCTGGCATCCTTGAATAATATTAGCTATGAGAGGTGACTTTTTAAAAAAAAAAAGTTGATTTTTTACTTTTTGATTATGTTTTGCTGTTTTGCTCATTGCTGCCCCATGCTCCTTTGGGAGAGAGGGCAGGATAGAATTTTAATAAATGAGTGAAATGGTTAGCAGGAAATCCCACTGAGTTCAATGAGATTTGCAACTTGACGCATATTTTCATGTTGGAAGAAAAGGTTGCATCCCACATAGGCATTAGATTTGGAGTGGCTTGAATGCAGAAATCAGATTCTGCAAGTTTGTGCTGAGGCCCTATAAGTTTGTGCACTTTCAGCACCTCATCAGAAAGCATCTTACTAGCTCAGTGCAGCAAGGCAGCCCATACAACAGCATAAGCACTTGTCAGCTTCAAGCCTTTGTGGCTTGATGGGCCTAGATTTGTTAAGAGTGCAAGAAAACAACACTGTGTATATATCTCAATTTCGCATGTAAATACACACTGGAACTTCGTGGTAGGCCATGCCTTCTTTATCTTGCATTGCTGAGAAGTCTCTTTTAGCAGAACTTCAGCAGAACCCATTTGTCTGAGCCACTGTTATACTTCGGATCACCTTTCTCATTCTTATTTCACTCTAGACTGGTGCTTTCACCCATTGTAAGACCTTCCATCATAGTTTCTGAACTCACACATCTGGCTACCAGTGCAATTACAAAAGAGCTAATTCTTCATAGGTGGAGCTGGAAGTATTTGGCATGCACCAGTCCTAATCATAGTAGATTCTGTGTTGACCTAGACACTCAAATGTCTGGTATGTGCTGATGCTCATAAAGTTCTTCCCCTAGCTGCATCATGACAATATGAAGCACATAACTATTTCAGACAATCGATAGCATCTCCTGGCTAGGAATGCACAATCGCATAATGGCTGCTCTAGAATGTCATATCGGGTGGCAGCAGCTGCCCAAGGTCTCCACAGAGACAGAGATATTTACGATTACCTGTTGCCTTATCCTTGCACTGCAAAGGCCAGGAATCAAACTCTGAACTTTCTGCAAGCAAAGGACGTGCTTTACCACCCAGCTTTGGCCCCTCCAACTTTTTAAAAAAGAGGTCTTTTGTTTGAGTTTGACTTAAGATGACTCCTCTTTGCTGCCCTTGGGAATCTGCTCAGAATCCTGGGTTGCAAAACCTCTTCATGACCAGGATCTGGCAAGACAAGATTTGCACAGTTCCAGCTGTGAGTTCGCGATGATGGAAATGTTAAGCCTTGACCTCAATTTCTTTTTATCTTCATCCCTTTTAAAAACATTAGGTTGATTAGACTAGGTTTTATCCAGGTGTGCTTGGCCGGACCATTGTATAAGACTTTAGAAATGCTCTTTGATAATGAAAAACAGTCAGATCAATCAGAGAGAGAGCAGGAGCAAAGCATTGTTTGCCTATAGAGATGCCTGCCAGTAAAGACGCTCAAGGTCATTTCTATAAATAGGACATCTTTTCCCTGTGCAATCCTGTGCACACGGTTTGAAAATTTGATTATTATGGCATTCAACAGGAAACTTTATCTTTCTTTGGTCAACTCTCACGGAATTTGCAATGATGTCAAATCCATAAAAGATGTGGGCGAGGGCATCAGAAGATGACTGTTTATTTTCTTTGCTACAATCATGCACAAAAATAGAACCAGATAAGATATCGGGCAGCTCTCTGTTTTGATGCATTTAGCAGACTGAATAGATGTTAGCATGAAAGCAAACTAGAGAAGGGCTATTTTAGGCATTTTACAGGAAAACATTTTTTGCTCATAAAAAGACTGTTCTGTCAAAGGAGAGCTGTAATTGCAGGTAGGCCTCCCTATGTGCATCGCTTGATGAATTGGGCATATTTTTCCTGCACTTTTGAGTGAAGCTTTAGCTGATCTGCTCCGTATTCCCTCTGAATGGGAGGCAAGATGTGCACATCACTTTCTTTGATCTGGAACCAGAGCTGAATTGGGTGAATGATCCAAAGATAGCCCACTTCAGGCATGACAGTTTTAAACTCACGGAGGGGGGGATGCATGCACCATCCCTGCCCCCATTGTTTCCTGGGCACTGTCTCCACCCTGGACTTAGAAGCCTCCCTGCAATTGGGAATCCTGCCTCAACTTAACACACTTAGAAAACCCCTTCAGACCTTCCAGCTTAATACAGGAAAGTTAGGGGTAGGCCTGGTATGCATGCAGATCCTAGGGGCAGAGGTGATGTGCACAGTCCCATGCCCCTTAAAAAGGTAAAGGTAAAGGACCCCTGACAGTTCAGTCGCAGACGACTCTGGGGTTGCAGCGCTCATCTTGCTTTACAGGCCGAGGAAGCCAGCATTTGTCCACAGACAGTTTTCCCAGGTCATGTGGCCAGCATGACTAAGCCGCTTCTGGTGCAACAGAACAGTGAAACCAGAGCAGCTCACGGAAACGCCGTTTACCTTCCCGCTGGAGCGGTACCTATTTTTCTATTTACACTTTTTGGCATGCTTTCGAACTGCTAGGTTAGCAGGAGTGGGACTGAGAAACGGAAGCTCACCCTGCTGCAGGGATTTGAACCGCCGACCTTCTGATTGGCAAGCCCAAGAGGCTCAGTGGTTTAGACCACCGCATCGCACCATGCCCCTTAGTTGTGTTCTAATTCCCTATTTGAGCATAGTGCTTTAACGGGACTCTTAAATTTGTATCAGCTTCTTTAACTATGAACCCCCAAATATGGGATCCTCTCAAAAATGGTGCCAAGTTTTTGCAGTAGTGAAAACCCCACATTTTGCAGTGCCGCACAAATGGAGCAATAGACCCTCAAACCTGAGGGTCACAGGGTCACCCAAACCTTGGAATGCTAGCTTCATGTATCCCTTGATGTGCTTTCTGCAAAACCTTTGCCAACAAGAGCTACTCTTGATATGTAATGTTCTACACCCCCTCCACTGAAAGATGCAGGTTGTAGACATGGGTAAATGAACCATATCTCATGAACACACTAGCCTCCATTGTGTTTTAATTTTCTGAAGGAAACACAAATCTGGGTTAAGTGCCAAGACCCCTTGAATCTTGTGCTCTGCTTGGCAGAGACTGGGGTGGCCCATAACAATATGTAGGGAACTACAGTGGTACCTTGGGTTACATACGCTTCAGGTTACATACGCTTCAGGTTACAGACTCCACTAACCCAGAAATAGTAGTTCGGGTTAAGAACTTTGCTTCAGGATGAGAACAGAAATCGTGCTCCGGTGACACGGCAGCAGCAGGAGGCCCCATTAGCTAAAGTGGTGCTTCAGGTTAAGAACAGTTTCAGGTTAAGTACGGACCTCCGGACCGAATTAAGTACTTAACCCAAGGTACCACTGTAGACACCTACTGTTCCAGCTGACTCTGAATGAAAGACTTAAGCTCAGATCTCGTTTCCTCCCTTATTGCGCAGATAAGAATCGTACAAAAGCAAAACAAGGGTCACTGGCATAACAGGTGCAGAGCATGGCCGGGCAAGCCAAGATATAGATCCTGCAGTTGACCCTGAGCTGCTATAAAGGAGACACTCTAGAAAGCGCAGCCCAGTCCATTTGTAAAGAATGCGGGAAGGGAACATGCACTGTTGCTCTTCATATCTAACCACAAACTCTTTGCACTGCATTCCCTACCTACAAGGACTTCTCTCCATTCATTTGAAGGGGAAAACCATGGCTTATTTGTTTCAGGCACCTAGTCCCCACCCTTTAGCCAAAAAGGCTCTTAGAGCAGCTTCCCAACATCAGTACTAAGGTGGTCCTCTCCCTTGTTATCACCCTCTGAGTCTCAGGGCTCCAGAAAAGGGCCTCAGATGAGGATCTAAGAGTCCTAGTGCATTCATATTTTGCTCACAAGCCATTTGGATCTGAACTTTGTGACTTGAAGTCGCCCTCTGCAAGCACCCCAGGTACTAGCTTTATTGTTTTTGCAAGAAAACCAGAAAAGTAGTGTTTCTTGCACTGTGAAAATGTGCCAGTGCCTCTGTGTGTGTAATCCTGACCTTTGTAGTGTTCTATAACATGATCAGTAACAGAGTCACAAACCCACAGGGAACAGGTGCCATGTGGTTCCAATCAGACCAAGCGCACCAAAAAGGTCACTGTCATTTCTAGAATCTTTTGTAAAATGTGTTAGGATTAACCTTTTGAATCTCAGTTCCATTCTTCTGCCGAGATGCCAGTGCTAAACTGACTGCTATATATGTGAGAGATCTGCCAGATGAGCTAACTCCATTGAATAGTGTTGTGCTTGAGAAAATGTGGGGTGTACCAGCCATGACATTACATCTGTCAGATCTCTTCAGCCATGTCAGTCATAACTTGAAGTTGCAGTTATCAGGTGATGAGTATGCAGCTGTGGAACTAGAGGGACTGACTGTTAAAGCACTCTAGTAGTCTAGTATTCCCAGAATGGTTTAACAAACAATCCTTCACAGAGAATTCTGGGAGCTGTAGTCTCCTAACAACTCTCCGTGCCCTTAACAAACTACAGCTCCTAGAATTCTGTGGAGCAGGCCATGGCTGTTTAAAGTGGTATCATGGAGCTTTAAATGGTATGAATATAGCCTCTGACTCATTTTCAACCATCCTCTTTTAACCCTCTTTTCTTCCCCACTTCTATCAGCATTTTCATACTTTTCTTCCTGCATTGCTCCAGGCATCTTGGAACCATCTCCTTTTAAAACTCTCCCATCACTTTCTTCCTCCACTGCAGAATGCTCTCGCTCTCTCTCCTCTTGTGTGTTCATTTCTCTTGAAACCATGACTGTCATCTCTTGCTAACACCACAAACTTGGATTACTGACTCAGCCATCTTTCTGCAGCCAGATCTCCCAGTCACTCCATCTTAGAGCCCTCCCCTCTCCTTGTTCCACCACACGTCTCTCTGTCCCCATATCTGTTATATCCCTTTCCTCTTCCTTCTGCATCCCTGTACTCTCTCAGCCATGCCTCTTTCTTTCCCTCTGCCAGATCTTTCTCTGCTTCAATCTCTCTGTAACCCAGTTCAATCCATTTCCCCACTCTGCATCACACAACACTTTCTCTTCTCTCTGTACCACCACAGGCCCTTCTGCAGCTCCATCTCTGTTACTTCCCGTGTTTTTACTTTGTCCCTCATCTCCCTGCTGTTCCCTTTTCTTCCTCCAGCCTGTAGCTTGGTTCTGCTTCTGTCCACCACTTCATTATCCCAATTCTTCATCACGGACTGCAGCAGGAACATTATATGGGCCATGAATTCCCCCAGCAACTCACACTGATGAAGGGACATCAGAACTAGCTGAGCTGTGCAGCAGAAGAGCGGCTGGCAACAGCAGACTGGAGAAACTGGCATGAGCTTTCCCATGCACATCTGATCCAGAGAGGAGTGCAGATGCAGAAATCCTTTCATTTGTAGTCCCATTTTGGATGGACTTGAGCTGTCTCTGCATATTTCCAGAAAGGCCTGCAAACAATGGGTGTTTTTCACTCAAAGAACTGCCAATCTAGAAGAACTTGCAATCAACCAATGGACATTATGTTTTTCCACCGAAGGGCCTTTCTAAGTTCTGTTTTGTCACTGGTGGAAGATGCACCAGCATCATTTAGAAGTGTGCATAGGACACTAGAGGCTGAAAAGGATCCCTCCCTAAGGCTGCAATCCAACCCCACTTTCCTGGTAGTAAGCCCCATTGAATTCAACAGAGCTTTGGGTTCAATAGCATTTACTTCTCAGTCGACATGGTTAGGATTGCACTGTAGAATACTAACTTAGACCTGCAGACAATTCTCCGTAAGAATTCAGCCAAAATTATTATCAACTGCTATGACCCAAAGTGAGCCTTAATGTTAATTCTTTCCGCCCTCTAGGAATGCAGAAGCACCTGAATTCTTCATATAAAAACTAAAAAGCCAGTTGCCAAATATCCAGCCAAATGCTGCACAGCATTTAAGTACGTAGGCTCTTGGATAGTTTTATTGCTTTATTGTTTGGCGCCCAGTCACGCTTCCCCTGCGAGTCTCTGAAGCTTCTGTTTACGCAGTGTGGCTTTGGAGCGGTCGTAAAGCAATTAGCAGAATTACACAGCAGTCGTGTGTCGAAAGGGCAGTAAATAAGTCCAGACGTTTCTTCTATCCTAATATCTCTTTATTGGAAACAAATAGCGTATTTACAATCTCCAACAGCCATCCGTGTTAAGCTGCATCTTCTCTCTCTCCTTGCAGCGTCTGTACTGAAAGCTTTCGATTTCCACTCAGTACACAACATTCCAAGCTGCTTTTGTCAAGTCCTGGCTTACTTCCCTTGTAAGCCCGTCCCTTCAGGCTCGAGGCATAGAAGGTTAACCCTTCACTACACCCAACATAGGCAGACACAGAGGTTCAATTCCATGAATGCAACAGATAAAAACAGGTTTATTATTAGCTCAGTTGGTTAGAGCATGGTGCTGATAATGGCAAGGTTGCAGGTTCAATCCCTGTATAGAACAGCTGCATATTCCTGCATTGCAGGGGATTGGAGTAGATTATTCTCATGGTCCCTTCCAACGCTACCATTCTGTAATTCTATGTCCTCCATCTAGCTTGCTGCCCTGTTTACCTGGTCTGACTTGCATTGTTGCTGGACCATTAACTCTGACATTATAGCCTTAAAAGTAACAGTGCTAAAACCTGATGCATAAGAAACAAGGGAAAAGTCAGGAACTTAATCCTATCATATTAATGTCTCCAAATCACACCTCTAATTATCCTTCCTAGATGGCTCATACTACTTTAGTCATGTCTAAAGGCACTGCTATAGTGTAGACTGCAGTTGCTGGAGGTTCTTGGCAAGAATCCATCATAATCACTGCTGGATAAGGTTTTGCCACCTCTCTCTATTTTAACAATTCAGACATAACTTTGATTATTATTATTTAAAAGGCTGGATTTTTGTGATTAACTTCATTTCAGTATTCTGAAGGAGTCCCATCAATGAAACTGCTGCACACAATTGATGGATGAACGAAAAGTCTTTGCTCAGCAAGAGTCTTAGGAATTAATTATACTGTTGGCAGTGTTTTATGCTTTTAGGCTGCTGATTAATATTCATGTCTTGTTTCTTTTCATTCCCAGCACCTAATATATTTGTGCACCTTTAAATTTCTGTTAACCATTTTTAAAGCAACAAATCCCTCTGTCTTTTGTTTGCTTGCTGTGAGGAACACACTCATCCATGCTTGAGATAAAGGGGGAAGTGGCATTCATTACAATTTCATTTGGACTCTGTTCTGGAGTTCAAATGTTAAATCAAGGCACAGTAAAAATAAAATAAAATAAACCAATTTATTTTTACAAATTTTGTTTTTCCTTTCTAAAAGCTGCTTTTAAACTGGCCAGCTTCACATCTCATTCAAATTCTGTGGCCTGGTTATGGCATTTTTAAAGGCAGGCTGGCAAGAGTCTTCATATATATGAAGGACTTTCCCATGCACCACACATGCACATAACATCACAGACGATGCTAGCATTCCACATGAATGCCCAATCACACAGATGCTTAATTTCATCAAAAATGGAAGGGGAGATTGCATTGAAGAAGGGAAGAGGGTGAACCTGATCTTCCACCATTCAAGGACTGTAAATATTTGATCTGCTCCTCCAGGAATAGGGTGGCAGTGGCTTCAATTAGGAGCTGCTTTCTTGCTGCAACAAGTTTCCTGCCCATTATGTTTGTACATTGATCAAACTAACAAATCAGGCCTAATGGCATGTTAATAATTAAGGGGAGGTTGCATCTGTTTCCCCAGACTAATCATCTCTTGACAGCCGGTGCACAGGAATAAATTAGAGTTGATCTCAATTTCTATGGAAAAGGAATATTCCAAAGCGGCAGAAGATTCTCTGATTCATAAAGTTGCTGGCCTCTTATGATTCAATTGTTGATTAGCACTGGCAAGAAAGCCAGTTATTCTGCACGTTATTCCATTGACATTGATAAAGACCAAATGACTCCTCCCACCACCAGCACATGGTCCCATTACTGTAAAATGTGTTGTGCATGTGTCATTTGCACATATCCACTGACTTCCGTAAAAGCTTTTGCTTCTTTCCCCCTCCAATCTAGTATATTGTGAAAAGAAGCTGTAAAGTGCTGCCATAATACTGGGGTGTATTTTCGTTGCTTAGATAATACAGTGAATATGGAGTGACTCCCATTTAATGGATAATGGACGACTCTCATTATCTATAGATTAAGCCTTTATTTCTTAGTGTCTTTCTGTTCCCAATTGTATCCTGTCATATTGAATAGAGAAGACTCATGTCAAAGTTTGGCTGAAATTCAAGTATCGCATTAAATTCCAGAGAATGGCTTCTGTTGCTTCTCTAAATGTCTATAATCAGTTACCCCATGTAATTTTGAGACTGTGTTATTCAAAGGAGTTTTTACAATAATATTTCCTTATTGTGGGATTAATTTTACTAATTGTGGTTGGATATCTCCCCTTTTCTTGCTTAGGGTTGTCCCAGCCCTAGATAGGGCTTTGTGTTGAATGTTTGCTCTGACTTCCCTCTCCTGAAACTTATTAAAAGGTGACTCTTTCCAGTTGAGCTGCTGTTAACGTTTTGCTCCAGCTGCCCCAAACAGATCCTCTACAATTGCATCCCAAAACTCAAACAAGACAAGCTTTAGCCATTTGCCATGAGTCATTCTTTATTAAGCTCTTGGTTTTTGTGCCCTTATCTTGTATTCTAGTCAGCCTTGGCTTTAGTTATTTAAGAAGTCTCAGAATAGCATCTCTTAAAGTCAGGGCATATTTAGACCCAAGCCATGTTTATTCCTTTTTAATGTGTCATTCTACGTAGCCAATCTCCCAGCAGCTTCCTTGTAGCCAAGCTTTCTTTTAATAGGCTAAAGCGGAGATGCAGAATAAATGTGACTATAATAATGTTCCCCTCCCCCAAAAAATATTGGAAACAATTCCTGACTGGACCAGGCAATGAAAATAATGACCTCTACGAATTGGATGCCCCCCACCCCGAACAATCTGGGGAAATGTTATAAAAATGCTATTGCGGCTGCACTGGGCTCTCTACACCTCCCCCACAAACCCCAGCAACAACTTGGGAACAATAAAGTGTGTGTGGGGGGGGTGATTCTGATAATGCTGTGCTCAGCACCCCCACCCCACACACTTTCCCAAAGCCCCTCCCTGGCCAGAGCAGCTTCCCAGTGCTTCCTCTAGGACACGGGTGTCAAACACAAGGCCCGCGGGCCGAATCCGGCCCGCCAGACCTCGTCATGTGGCCCGTGTAGCCGCCGGCGGCCGCCAGCCTTCACCTTTTATTCTCGCTTCTTTTTTTTTTACATGAGAAAGCCGCCTCTTCAGCACATGCGCGGCAGCCTACAAGCCAGAGAACATCTGCCCTCTAGCGGCGCCGGCCGTTCTACACAGGAAACCTCCACTTTACATGCATTCAGGAAACCTCCACTTGTTTTTATATTGAGCGCATGCCATCCTGTGATGTGACAGATCCAACGGCTGCCTGAACCCTTCTCTCCTGTACTGTAAGTACATATGATGTATGTGGGGGGGGGGGGTCTGCTTATTATTCTGCTTAAAAGTCTGAGCAGTAAACTTTGGATATACTGACCACTTCCGTGTCACTTTACAGTGGTATAGGGACCATAAACTACAATCAAATAACCCAAAAATGTCCAAGAAAAGAAAAGTTGATGCAGAGGGAAGGCAATTTCAGGAGAGATGGGAAAGTGAATACATGTTTGTGATTAATGTGATTACTTACATTATTACAAAAAACAGTAATAATTGAATGCAGTGACAGTAATTTATGATAATAAAGAGTGGACACATAGTCCTACAGATACAACCGGCCCTTTGAGGGTGACCAAACTGCTGATGCGGCCCCCGATGAATTTGAGTTTGACACCCCTGCTCTAGGAGGCAAATGGGCACAGGGCATCTCAGTCTCCCTTCTCCTTTCAGAAAGTTCTATGAGCATCCAAAGCAGAGGAGGTGTAGCAGAATCATCACATTTCCCTCCCCAAAACCCAAGGGGTAGTGTTATGTACCGAGCTTTAATCCCAGAACAATACACAGGTAGGCTCCTAGAATGCAACAACCTGATTGGCTGGAAGGAGCAGGCCAATTAGGCCCCAGGAGGAAGTGAATCAGCCAGTCACACGGGGCCCATTATGTAAATAATGTATATAAAGCCAGAGGTTTGGGGGGAATTTCAATGACTGTTCCTATGAGCTGAAATAAAGAGCACAAAATCACTACTCGACTCTGAGTATATTTCAGGTGGCAAAACTTGGGCAAAAGATTCTTGCATTGTAGGAGGGTCAGACTAGATGGGAATGGCAGCACATGGAAGAGCCAGTTCTAGCCAAGCCTGGGTGCCATTCTCTAATGAGCCAGTGGGACAACTCACATGCTTAATGTTCAGTAGGTGCTGAACCGAGGCTTTAGCCTCAGAAGGCCAATCATTTCCTTTCTCCTTCAGTGAGCCTAGGCCATGGGTAGCTGACATGTCATGCTCCAGATGTTGGGGCTGCAACTTCCATCATTTCTGACCACTGACAATACTGGCTGGAGCTGCTGGGAATGGGAGTCTACAACATCTGGAAGGCATGGCTTTGGGTGCCCATGGCTTAGGCATGAAATCTAGTGACAGGTAAGTCAAGTCTCTCAAAACTGAGGCAGGTGCTACACATTACCGCAGCAAGTATGAGTTCCACAAACCATGTTTGCCAGGGTAACATGAGTATGGTTTATAAATACTTATAAATAAATGCTGGAATTGAGTGGGGCCGGAGTGAGAGAGCATCTGCACAGAGAATCAGTGGGTGTGAGGTATAGGCGATTTTGGTAACATCTGACTGGCCTTGTAGGAAATATGATGATAGACTAACTAGGCCCTTGGTCTGATCCTGCAGAACTCTCCTTATAGTCTCAATTCTTCACCATGCACTCTGTTTCTCTTCCACACAGGCTTCCCCCATAACCAGCCTTATTCCTAGTCTTGGGATCTGGCTGTGGGGAAAATGAAGCATGTTCTGCAGTAAAACTGCTTTCCCAAACTCACACTAGTGCTAGAAGGCAAACATTCCTCATAAAGTGTGGTTCCGGCCTAAAGCTTCCCTCACATTTTTGCTAGTTAATAAATGCTATTATCCTGTCCACCACCACCCGCCCCCGTTCTGTGTCTTTTCCAGAAAAGCTTTTTCTGCAAAGAAGAGCCTGGCTGTTTGCCTTCGACAAAGCCAGAAGAAAATGGAGGAGGGGGAGAGAGAAGAGATGACAAAGCAAGAGCTTTTAAGAAGAAGAATAGCTACAGCGAGCAATTCCATATGTGTATGTGTTGCATTTGCAATTTGTTTCAGGTTTCCAAATTATGCTTAGATTGGATCATATTTCAAATTAAACATGCAAAATAACAGCTTGTGTGTGTACATGCATGTGAGACTATTAGTACAATGTAGGAATGCTCTTATGGGGGTAAAGCTAGTGTTGTTGTTTTGTTGTTGTTGATATATATATACACACATACACACACACTGTAGTTATATAAATAGAATCCTGAAAGACAACAAGGAAACGCCTGCAAAAACACTCATCCTCAAATGTCAACATGCAGTGGAAAAAGTGAAGTCATTTTAAAAGTCAGATGCCCAGGTCGTACAGTGAAGGCACTGAAAAGAAAACTCAAAGGCCAAAGTTCAAATCCTGATGGGAAGAAAAAGATTCATGGAAGGAGAACATTTGAAAACTGCCGTCTTGAGAATAGCAATGGGTAAACTTCTGTTGATTCAATTTGGCATTGGATTTGGCAAATTTCCCCTTCCCTCAAACACACACACACACACACACACACACACACACACACACACACACGCGAAAACCACCACAAGTCATTAGCACCTTCTCCTTTTATATGAACTTTGAAACCTGTTGTATTTCTGTTGATACTAGAAGCATGAAAAGGTTTGTTCCCACCCTTTGTGTGTTAAGATCCCAAGACCTCCCTCAATAAATAAAGGCACAATTGACACGGAATTTAGTTTAAGGTTATTGGCATAATTTTGGCCACAACTTTATTGATTACAGATCGTGAGTGGTTTGCTTAGGCATCGGTTCCCGACTAGCTGCACCTGAGCTCAGCAGGACAGCACTGACGCCTGGACTCCGGCAGAGGTCAGTGAGGGAAAACATCCTGGGGGAGCACTGGACCAGGTTCAGACTCAAGATCACCCCAGATGCTCCCAGAGGCTCTGGCGTGGCCCTAACCCCTGGAAGGGGATCGGACAAAAGAAAGGCGAGGCCCGGGATTCCTTTACGGAATACCCTTTCGCGCATTGGAGGGACAAGTGTGACAACCTCCCCTCCACACTGAACCAATGCCTAACCGCCAAACCTTACAAAGTTGTGATGATTTGCTAAGCAGCAGGTGAAACCCAAGTGGCACCAGCCAATCCGCCAAATGGGAAAATTCCTACCAGGCCCCTGTCCCAAGAACAGATGACCCACAACGGCAGAGCAAGGTCATAATGAACTGTAAATATAGGGAGGGTGGGCGGGTGATGCGGTGCACAAAGTGAAAAGACAAAGCTCTACGCAACGTGCAGCAGTATATATAAAGGTCCCTCGGTTAATACACAAAAAATCCCATTGGTCAGATCTGCCCAGCAACCAAGGGACCACCAATCAGGTTGTTGTGGCTATCCAATCGCTCCCACCCACTGCATAGTTTGAGGTGAGTCTTGATTATCTCACCGCAATGCGTGCTCTCTGGGAGGAGGACGCGATTTGTGATCCTCCCCAATTTACAAATTTATGGACCCTGCCTGCTTTCCTTCCTCTTTACCTAGCAGTGCAGGTAGCCAGGCTGGAGGCCTCTCTGTTCCTCCCTCCCTCCTTGATACTTTGAATACGCCAAAGGCAGCATTCAAGGCAGGAGGTGCTCTGGGGCAAGCAGTTTCCAGTGCACCTGAGGTCTTTAAGGACTCAGTCGCCTTTAAGAACTACACTTCCTGGGCAGCGCTCAAGCCACCATATTATCTGGGCAGTCTGTTTAATGCAGAGCTTCAGAAGGACATTGGGGGCAAATGCCACTATCTTCCCAGCATTACAGGCTAGACTAGTTAGTATTCTGAGCTAGGCCTTGGGTATCATTGCGGCTTGGGGTATCAAATATAATCTAAACAACCCCCTGCCTTTGAATCTGGGGCAGTGGGAAAACTAATACGAGAATTCTGTTGAATATGAAAAGTATTTTGACTATCTGTATCAGCACTAGTTAGTATATATCTACATATTTTACAATTGTGATTTAAAAAACCATTTCTGCAAGTTGCTTTGCCATAAAAAAGTGTAAAAAGATGGCTCTGTTTGGGAAAGGCTTATTTCCAGAGTATTATATGCTCTCGTAAACTATGCCCTGTGATATACTGCGGGCCGTTTCTGTTTATTAGATCTACACAAAGCCTCATACTTCAAAATGGCAACAATAAACTTTATGGAGATGATTAAATTGCATCTAATTCCACCAAACCGTTTTTGACCAGCCTTCACCTTTGGCTGACAGTGCTCTAAAATATTTATATGGGCCAGGATTTATACCTTAACTGCATGCAAGTACAAAACCAGCTTAGCTTAGGGGATGAGTTATTTAGGAAATAGGTCCTTTAATCCTCAAAAGAACACCAAAATCAGCAGCCTGTCATGAATAGCTGTCACTACTCCACTGCTTAGACCTCATATCTTTAAAAAGGATCCTTTAAGTGCCAAGATTAGGTTTGACAACTCTCGTGCAAGGATCCTCAAGCTCTTTTTTCAATCTTGATAAACTTAAGGTTGTTCAAAAGTCTGCAGACATGCAGTTCAACAGGTATGATTCTGCGTCCCCATGAAAAGACACTCAGTGTTAGTCTTTATGGTGCCACAAGACTCCTTCGTGAATTCAAGACCAGGTCTATTCAAAATGGCACACTCTGTCATTTTCATAAACTGCGAAAATGTCTCCTGTGGTTCATGGTCATCACAATAACTCAGACACCGAGGGATGTGTGAAATGGGCCATCACAGATGCAGCGTGACAGGCAAAACATTTCCGCATCACCTCAAACACAATGCCTTACAATGTTGTCGGTTCATGCATTCAGCTGACTGACATCAATCGTACAATTACCAAGGTGGCTCGTTCCAATTGTGTGCACAAGGGAGAGGGATCAGGCACGCCCCATTTGCATTGTAAGGTCTGAAAGACCCTCTGTTTCGGCAGCTGGTCATGTGGCGGGAGGGCTCTCTCCATCTGAGAAGGAACTCTGCTTTTGCCGACTGCATAGTTTTAAGAGCTCCCAATACTAAATGCATGGGTACGCCACACACGCCAAACACACACACACACATGTCCATACAAGGCCAGATAAAAAAAAATTAAGGGATGTGCATGCAACATGCAAAGAACTTGATAACTTCTTTCTTTTCTTCTCTGCAAAATTGTGAAAGATGCTTTTCTTCGTGCATGGATTTTTATTTGAAAATCCTCAAGAAACGCAGTATCACTGAAGCGACAGATGCTATTCCTTGCATACAGCAAACTGACTTGGTTTATAAGCCTTCACCTTTCTTTCTTTTTACTAAAGCAGACAACTCTGTTGATTTCTATAAAGGTGACAGCACTGTCTAAAACAGGAAGATTGCAGAAAAGGATATACCAGGCTGTGTAGCAAGAAGTGCTGACTTGATATGTTGAAGTCGCTTAGAAATCCCTGCTGTTAGGCTTGAATGATTTGGGGTGTCATGGAAAGGCAGCAAGTAGTTCTTTATTTAATACAGGGTTGTTGTTTTTCATTTTTCCTGCCTATGCAGGAGAGAAGTGATGGTGGGAATTTTCTGCCTCGAGAGTCAAAATGACTTTACCAGCCTTGGGTACCAAGACTGGAGAAAGCATTTGCTGCTCTGGCTTGGGCTGCAACGTGTCTTGGACTGACTTTGCACTATGCAGTTAAAGCATCATCATCATCATATTACTTTGAAAAGTCATGGGTTCCTTCACTGGCAGCTGTAGTTTGTTACGGGTGCTGAGAGTGGTTAGAAGACTCCTAGCTCCTTCACAGAGCTACAGTTCTCAGAGTGCTTTAACAAATACCTCTTCACAGAGAATTCTGGGAATTGTAGTTCTCTGAGGAGATTAGAATAATAGAATCATAGAACTGTAGATTGGGTAGGGAACAGGAGGGCCATCTAGCCCAACCTGCAATGCACCATCCCCCATCCAATTTAAAATATTTTTGGACTCTGATTAGCTTTGCAAATGTGCTACCAGTTTTATTGCTGCACAACTCTCAGCACACTTAGCAAACTACAGATCCCAGAATTTTTTGGGGGAAGCTACAACTGTTTAAAGTGGTATTATATATTTTAAAAATGTATAATGTAGCTGGAACCTTGGTAAGAGATTTCACTCAGCCAAAATTCTCTAGTGTTTTTAAAGTGGTAAGTGGAAGGAAGACACTGCACCACTCTTTTTTTTAAAAAAAAAAATCTTCTAAACTCAATAAAGGCACACAAAATTAGTAGAAAAAGAATTCCTTAATAAACAGATGGTGATACTGCAAGTCATTTCAAGATACTTTCTCTCTGGCTAGACTAAGAAACATACTTGTATATTTATTTTTATTTTCTATCTAGCTTGAGGCAGTGATACATCTGGCTTTTCATTTGACATTCATAAGATCACTTTATGGACATTATCATTCCTTGTTCTCAGTGTGAGCGAGAAAGTGCCCTCAGGACAAGCATATTTTCACGCCGGAATTCTTAAATGAATATGCCCTGCGTTTCTTAGATAAAAGAAGTGCCCCAGATCCTGACACTCTACCTCTGTGTTCACTATGGAATTATTGCCTTCTGCTCTTTCAACGCGGGCCGGTGAATGGACTGAACAACCTTGTGAATTTGGGACTGAATGACAAGGGGACATTGGTCTGCAACTTGTTCACAATGCAGGTATCTGCAATGTTCTGTGCAATTAACAAAATCAGGTAAAAGTGAAGCTTTCATGATGAAATGGCCAAGAGGAAACAAGTTGGAAGGGGAAGCAAATCACACGAGAGGCTTGGATTTCACTGTATACTTGATTTTCAGAGGGACTTGGGCATGCCTATTTTCTTGATATGGCACTAGGAAATCTAGGGGGAAAACTATCCATTTTATCCGGTGTGCACAAAGTGGTGAGTGACAAAAGAGTTTTGCAGGCATTGGTTAATTTGCATAGTTAATGTGCTTCCTAAGAATTTGCATCACTGCCCCAGTCATTTAATGCATGCAGATTTATGATAGCTAGAAGATAGCTGGCATTGCTTGGTGTGGCATAGCTTGCTGTTGAGGACGTGGCATTGCATGACATCTTTGCCCACTGGTGTTGGGGTGGGAGTTTTGCAGTTTCACCAGTTTTACGTTCTAACACTTGGGGTAACTTTGGTGCCCTTTGGACATCACAACGAGGGATGAGGGACAAATGGGATTTTGTTTACATTTTAATGAGAAGCTAATGCACACTTATTGAACCGATATGCAATATGCATACTATATTGCTCCTCAGTCAAGTTCCCTTGGGAGAAAGTGCCAATGTTTTCAAAAGTGTTGACTTCCAAGTAAGCACGTGGAAAGGGAAAAGTTTATCTTAGACCTGGATCTTTTCATTTTCAACTTGCTCCAGAGCAGGCCCACACCATACACTAAAAGCACATTCAATGCACATTTCCAGGGCACAACTTTCGCCTGGGAGCCATAGTTTCCCCTTACAGGGCTACAGTTCTCAGCACTCTTAACTATGGTTACCACGATTGTATGGGAGATGCACTGTGTGGTTCTGCCCTTTGATTTAAGAATGCCCATAGCTTGAGCAAAATATAATAATCATGAAATGGAAATAAGTAATAGCTAGGGACTGCTATCCCAATCCATATAAATATTCCATTTGCAAAAATCTAACTAAAAGCAGTTACTTAAAGGGAGCCTGGAGCCTCCAGATGATGCTGGACTCCTTATCC